GGCCATGAAGATTAGAATCAGCGCCCACATGGGATCCCAGTGCATGCAAGGCGAGGACTTTAGCTGTTAGGCTACTGCGCCAGCCCCCTTTAATGTATTTCTAAGCAGCTAGAAATAGTAGTGCTGAGTAGTAGGGTGAGCAGTCAGTGGCTGTATAGTAGAGTGGGTAACAAACAGGGCATTTTCTGTGAGTAAATACTGAAAAAGTAGCACAGAGACTAAAAATAGTTCCCTCTGTCATCATGTGACATTAATTCAAAAGTAATAATCAATGATAAAATAGTGTTTCTTGTTGAAGTGAACTCCTCTTCACTCCTTAGAACACCAATATACCTATATGTATCTATGCCACAAAGCTGGCCCATTAAGTTCTACATTGCATGAGTATCTTCAGAAATGAAGAGCAGAAGAAACAGGATAACTTATGTTATTTTATGGTATGTATGATGAATAAGTGGACAGTTCTGAAGTACTGTAACTGGAGAAAAAAGGATGATCTAATGATAATAAACCTGGGCAACTTGGCAAGATCTGCTTGCTCAGATTCTTCTCTATGTCCCTGAGTCTTCAGAGTTAAGGATGCTCCTTTCATTTGAGTGTAGGACAGGCACCTGTCACATGAGGGTAAAATGACCCACTTCACAAATTCAGAAAATGTTGGGTTTTATGGCCTGCCCCAAAAAACAATGTTTTCTCAAACACCATATCATGGGGTAGCATATCTTGAACCCTCATCAAGAGGAAGGATATGAATAATTGTGATCAGAAGGTAGGCTGTGGTAAATTATAAATACAGCTTATTTTTCACCCCTCTCTATAGCTCTTTATGAATATACAGTTTTTCTCATTAAAAGGAGGAATCTATTTCCCCATCCCTTGAATTAGGCTATACTTGTTTTCTATAATATGCCAGAAATGATAATGTGCAAGTTCCAAGTCCAGGTCTCACTTTGCTCACTTTCTTTAGGCTTTGTCACATGACAAAAAGCTTAGACCAGTCTCCTGGAGTAGAACCTGTTTAGAGGTGTTTAAAACACATTGAGTTTTGATAACCCTCCTTTCAAAAGGGAGAACCTAGTTCTCCTCTTGATATGACTTAGTAACTAGTTTTTAATTACTTCCCCTTCTCCCCAGCTGTATGTAATCATTAACTGACCTATTTCTACAGATTGCTATTCTGAACTCATACAATATACTGCCAGTTTCTTCCCCTAAGTATAATACTTTCAAAGTTCTTCTATATAGCATGTATCAGTACTTCCGTCCTTTTATTACTGGATATTACATTGTATAAACACATCACATTTATTAAGTCATTAGATTATGAACATTTAGATTATTTCTACTTTTTGGTTATCTTGAATGATGATGCTATGAACATTTATGAACAGCTTGCCGTGTGGATATATGTCTTCATTTCCCTTGCATAAATATGTGGGAGTAGAATTGCTGGGTCACCAGGTCAACCTATGTTTAATATTTTGAAAAATTACCAAACTGATTTCCAAAATGGGTACACCATTATTTCCAACAATGTACGAGCATTCCAACTTCTCAATATCACTGTCAATATTTGCTGTTGTTTTTACTATAGTGCTCTCGACAAAATATGACCTGCTAGTGCTTGTCTTTTTTTTTTTTTTTTTTAAAAAGTGCTTTTATTTTGTAAGGCAGAGTTACACAGAAGGAAAGACAGAAGAACATAGGGGGGAACTGGAAACACACACACACACACACACACACACACACAGAATGGAGGAGAGAAGACACTGGTTCCATCTATTGGTTCACTCTCTGATTGACCACAATGGCAAGAGTTGGTCCAGGACAAAGCTATGGAGCTTGGAACTTGATCCTGGCCTCCCACATGGACAGCAGGGGTCCAACCACTGCCTTCTTAGAGGCATTCTCCTGGAGCAAGATAGGAGATAGAACAGCAGGGGCTAGGACTGGCATTCATGTGTGATGTTGCTTTACCTACTGTATCAAAATGCCAGCCCTTCTTTTGGAATTTGGATTTTCTTAGTGGCTAATAACGATGATCATTTTCTTATGTGCTTATTGTATATTTGTATATATTCTGTGTAATGTCTATTCACATCTTTTGTACATTAAAAAACTGGGCTTTTTAAAAATGATAATTATTCTTTATAATTTCCTGATACAAGTCTCTTACCAGAGATGTGATCCAGACATTTTCTCTCATTTTGTGGACATTTTCTCTCATTTTCTACACTTGGAAATACCAGATTTTCAAGACAAGATTTAGTCTGGCCTATTTTTTCCCTTTGGTTTCTTATTAATTTCCTGACTGAGTCATAGGTCACACAGTAGCACCATTTGTGTCAAGAAGGTTTTTGATTTTCTTTTTCATTTCTTCAGTGACACATTGATCATTCAGTAGCATGTCACTTAATTTCATGTGGTTGTAAATTTTCCATTTTTCCTTCCTGTTGCTGATTTTATTTTATGGCTTTTCACTTAAGGGGAATTATAGTAACTGTGTAATAGAGACTATCATATCCAGATGTGATGAAACAATGCAGTATTCATGTTTACTTCCAAATCAAAGATGAACTCCCAATGAAACTGTTATATATATCTGGACAATAGGATACTTGATTGTCTGCCATTGTCCATACCTACAATGTCAGGATACACTTAACTAGCAGAATGATAGATTTATGACTGATTGTGAAGGACTACAGAATTGTAATGATATGGGGGAAATCAATTGGGGGCAGAAATTTAGGGAGGGGGGATGGAAAATCCCAGAGCCTATGGAACTATATCATTAAATAATAAAATAAATCAATTTAAAAAAGAAAAACAAACAAAATGACCATGTCATTTTTGCTTTGTCTTTAAGGTGTATGAAGTTAACAAATAGATATAAAGCCAACCCTACAATCCTGTGATAAATTTCATTTTGTCATGATGAATATAGGCACTGATGTTTTACTATGTTTTTAAACTATTCACTTTTTCCTATCTTTTAACAATCGGGAAAGTACAAAATAGGCAAATACTGTTGGCTCGCAATTGCATTTGAAGAATCACTGAGGATTAAAAATTATCTATGTAAAGTCTTGACATGCAGTGACTTGTATTTTGCAAGTATTTAAGGTACATGCTATAGGAACAGCACAAAAAGAGTCATTTAGCTAGTGAAACCTGATAAAACATAAGTTTTCAAACCCTCAAATAGTTTTATTCTCTTATTTTGCTTTTAATTTTTCTCTAATTAGCCCTGTTATAGGCAAAATTTGTTTAGAACTGAATATCTCATGTGAAGCTTGTTCATTTCCGCCCAATTTTGACACAGAGCTCAATAAAACACAAAAGTATCTTTTTGAAAACCAAGAATAAGTGAAAAGAGTTAAAAGCTCTTAGACTCAAAGAACATCAAAATGGATTTCAAAACAAGTTCCATAGAACATTACTTAAAATATTTTTAATCTCCATTCTTTTCCCTCTCAATCTCTCACAGAAAGCCACATTTCAAGGATTTCACTGTTTTACATCCCCTACCTTTCTGTAGCCATCCATTTTACTTTTTAGGAAAGAAATTGCCGATCCATGGCCTGTTAGCTTAAATTGAGTCTAGGCATGCATTTAATCCGATGTACTCTTTAACGCACAGATTTAACTAGATGCCAAGATTTGTGTGTTGGCAAATGGCACTTAAAATATTGTGTAACTGATTTCTCTTAAAGAACCTGAGGTTTTGCAAAATGTTGCTTTACATTTTACAATTGACTGCGAGTGAATGGTGACTGCCTCCCTGAAATATGACATGTCCAACTGTTCCACCACTGTCTTTCCTATTCCCTTTTATGGCCAATTATAGTATTTGTGATATGCATACAGAGTTTGAGGCTTTTGTATTTTAATGCTGTCCTTTTCCATGTAAATCGCTCTTTTTCAGATCCCTTCCCATTTTGCAAAAAGTTCCCATTATACTGGATAACAAAATTTCTTATCAGCCCACAGGATACTTCGAGAATGATCTGAGGATGAGGACAAGGAGTAGCTTCTTGGGCATTATTATCTTAATAAAACCCCTTGTGAAAAAAAAGTGCATTGTCAGGAACTCACCACACATGACATGGACACTTCAACTGTTCAGATATTTTACTCTCGTTCCACAGGGCTCTTGTGAGGCTGTACAAATCCATGACTGTGGAAAAAAATTTTGAGGTGACTTTAGTCTGTTTTTCTACCTTTTGCAACCTTTATTGGTATCTCTCAAATACCTCAATTTTCCTAGAGATGATAGGAGTTCCTTAATATTTGCTACAGTTAGCTCTCTGTGTATTTCGCGGGAGTTCCCCATTCCTTTAAACAGGGATAGACTTTACTTCAAGGTCAACGTAAAAAAATCGCAGAAAATCTAAAACTGCATTTGCAAACGTGTACATGTCTGGATTTCTAGGTTATTATCAATTAGCAATTAGCTAGACTGTTTACTTACAAAACTTACAGCCTGAGGTAAAGGAGAGAGACCCCTCAGCCAGGGCCTACAGAAGACTCACTTGCTGTTACACCTCTGAGGCTGTCTCCTTTTCAGGGCTCGGTAGACTAAATCAGCTTCACCTCAAAGATGAATCTCCTGTATCGAGGAACCGTGTCTACCCAAAATTATATTAGCGGATTATTGGACAGCAACCCGTCAGGCGCTCCCACTGGTGCGCATGCGCTACAGCTGCCGCCCGCTCGCACTCGGAGGACTCCACTACTTTGCCTCGGCTCTTCCCCGGCTTCCTCTGGACTGGCGTTCGAACTTCCCGGCTCCGGCAGAATCCACCAATCACACACGTCCTCGCTAAGACCACGCCCCTCGCCTCCCACCTCCGGGAAGGAGAGCCCGAGCGCGCGCTCACCCCTCCTCCCTTGACGCACGGCGGCGCGCGGACGTCGGCTTCTGACGCCGCCGTCACCCTCGCCGGCTCCCGCCGGCCCGGGCTGCCCCCGCCGGCCGTTGGGCCGCCTGCTGGAGTCGGTTCCTCAGGACCCCCGCCTCCCAGCCGCTCTCGCGGCGGCGACCCATGTGGGGGTCACGACTGCTGCGGTCGCCGCTGCTGCTGTTACTGCCGCAGCTCGGAATCGGAAACGCCCCGTCCTGTTGTCAGGCCAGAAGCATGAACTCGGGCGGCTCCGGCAGCTCGCCATGCCCCCTCGCTGCCGAGGGGCGCCGCCAGCCGTGCCTGCAGCTGTCCACGGTGCCGGGAGCCGAGCCGCAGCGAAGCAACGGGGTGCTCCTGCTGGCGCCGGCTGGGGAGGGACGGGAGCGGCCGGGCCTCCCCGGGGTCTCGGCGAAGGAGGAGCCCCAGCCGCCGCCCCAGCATCACGTCCTCTATTTCCCCGGGGATGTGCAGGTAATCCGAGGCCCGCTCAGGCACCTGCTTCCTCCACCTGTGCTGGTCTGCCACTACTAGCTCTTCCCTCGTGGCTGTACCCAGGTTCCTGGCCTCGTCTGGACACACCTACACGTGCACTCACGGGGGGTGGGGGTGCTTTTCGGTTTCTCCATGAAACCCCAAACCCTGACCCCGATCCCCTAGAACTCTGCGAGGTGCGTGTCTCTGGAGGGCTGCGCTCTGATGCAGCAGCCTCCAGTCCAGGCTTCGAGGGGGTGGGGTTTGAGACAGGGAATGAGGCACTCCGTGCGTGCTCATTTTGCAACTTGGTCCTTAAAGGAACTCAGTATGTGTGTTGGACAGGGAACAGAGAAATGGCTTTTAAATTAACTTGCAGTGTGTAGAAAATGCTGACTGATTAAAAAGCAAAGCCAATAAGAAACCCATTGCATAAGTATGTCGTTTTGTAACCGTGAAAGGAAGGGAAAAAAAAAAAAGGTAGAACAGCTATTGCCAGTCTTGCCAATGTTTTAATGCTCACTTAAATTCTGCACTTTCGTATATGATTTAATCTATTTCCATGGTGGTGATTGCCCCGGAAGTTGGAGCTTAATCTAAAACTGATATGGTAGCCATTAACCGTATGTGGTTATGTAAACTAATTGAAACTAAATAAAACTAAAAGTTTTAGCCTCAGTTATATAAGCTTCATTTTGAATGTTCAGTAGCTGCAAATGGCTGTGGGTCTGTACTGGATAGCAATGTCTGTGGTACATCACAGAAAGGTCACTTAGGACTAATTAGCTAGCTATGTTTCTTATCCCTAAAACAATATTAGTTTGCTATTTCTTTTTTTCTTTTTTAAGATTTATGTCTTGATTTATTTTGAAAGTCAGGCATACAGAGAAGATGAGAGACAAAGATCTTACATCTGCTGGTTCACTCCAGAAGTGGCTGCAACAACAACCAGAGCTCAGCCCATCTGAAGCCAGGAGCCAGGAGCCTCTTCCGGGTCTCCCACGCAGGTGCAGGGTCCCAAGGCTTTAGGCTGTCCTCGACTGCTTTCCCAGGCTGCAAGCAGGGAGCTGGATGGGAAGTGGGGCTGCTGAGATTAGAACCATTAATGTATATGGGATCCTTGTGCAAGCAAGGTGAGGACTTTTCGTTGCTAGGCTACTGTGCTGGGCCCAGTTTGCTGTTTTTTAATTGATGCTTTAAATGATAAATTTGGGCCCAGTGCAGTGGCCTAGCAGCTAAAGTCCTTGCCTTGAATGTGCTGGGATCCCATATGGGTGCAGGTTCTAATCCTGGCAGCCCCACTTTCCATCAGCTCCCTGCTTGCAGCCTGGAAAAGCAGTCGAGGAAGGCCCAAAGCCTTGGTACCCTGTACCCACATGGGAGACCTGAAGGAAGTTTTTGGATCCTGGCTTCGGATCGGCATAGCATTGGCCGTTATGCTCACTTGGGGAGTGACTCATCGGACGGAAGATTTTCCTCTCTGTCTCTCTTCCTCTCAGTATATCTGACTTTTTAATAAATAAATAAATAAATCTTTAAAAAAATTATAAAGCCATAGATGGAAGTCAGATAGTAAATTTTTTTTTCCCCCTTGCAATTCTGCCTTGTTGACTATTCATAAGAACTATGAAAAGGCTTTTAGTTTCAAGGAAGAAAATTACTCCATTGGGTCCCTCATGCCGACATTGGGAAAACTGGGGAGGAGGCGGGAATTCTAGCCATGACTTCTGGAGATTGGATTGGTTAACTGCTGCCAGCATGCCTACAATAATGATGATGATGATGATGATAGCAATGACAACATTTGAGAGCGAGAGAGCTCTGCCCGCTTCTGGTTTGCGCCCCAACGTCTGCCTGCAGTAGCTGGGACTTGAGCTATCCATGTTGTCACTTGGGCAGCAGGGACACAGCTCTTTGAGCAATCAGCCGCTGGGTCCCAGTGTCTGCCCCAGCAGGAAACTGGAAGAGGGTAGGAGCCAGAGCTGGGACTCTAAGCCACAAACTCTGATGTGGGGTACAGTGTAAGGTGAAATTAGATGCTTGCCCCAGTGGCTGATAGGTATAGAGCAGCTGTGAAGTGTTTAAGAGTGCCAGCCAGATGTAAGCATTTGCATGGGTCCATAATGCTCTACCTGTAGTTTGAATGCAGGTTGAGCATTCCTTAGATTGAGCATTTATTGAGCATACAAGATCAAAATGCTCCTTTGCACTTCTCAGCCTTTTGGTAGTATAGTGCAAGCATAGAACAAAAATCAAAACACTCCAACAAAACACAAACTATTTGAGTTCCAGTGTGACACCAGAATGGAAAAATCCACATCATGAAACTTTATTTAGGCTACAAAATTACTTAAAAACAGTAAAAGGTTCAAGGTGTGTGTAAAAGTCAGTGAAGCATAAATGAATTCTGTGCTTAGACTTGAGTCACATCCATAAGATATATTATTCTCTGTGTAAATATCCCACATCCAAAACACATCTGGTCCCAGGCATTTTGGAAAAGGGATACTTAACCTGTATCACCTCTTTTTGCTTTAAGATCATCCACTGCTTTGTCCAGCCCAGGACTTTCACACTTTTGGAGAGTGATTGGCTGTGAGTTTATGCAGAATATGAAGTGCTGCAGAAGTCCTAGGTCTTTTAGAGAAGAAACAGAACAAAACAAACGTAGGTTCTGAGGCCAAATTGCACAGGTTGCTCCACATGCCATACCTCTGATGAGTGAAATTCATGGCTCATCCGTCAGAGAGTCGAGTGGCTTCAGTGTATCTGCAGTAGTCAGAATCATTGTTTAAAAATATAAATCAAACATGCCATAGCTGTCTGCAAAGCTTCAGTCACTCCCCATCCCCTTCATAGTGCCACCTTTGACCTGACTGGCATTCCTGCCCTCTGCTTCCTCCCAGGGTTCCTCCTCTCTTCCTTGGTCTCCTTGACTTTGATGGCATGGCCCCAACAAGTCAGGCTCACTGCACTTGAGGTTTGTATATGAGGCAGGTGTTTGGTGTAGGTTTAGGACCTCATTTGGGGTGCTGTACTGCCCTCTGTTTGAGAGCTTGGGTTCAAGTCCTAGTGCTGTTCATCCTAGTCTGCACCTGGGGATGCGCAGCAGGTGACAATTGCTCAAGCATTTGGTCCCTGCCACTCACGTGGGAGATCCAGTTCTCAGTTCAAATAAACAAAACTTTTTTTTTTTTTTTAAAGATTTGCATTACCACCTGAATAGGTTTCCTGTACATGCTTTGGGTTTTGTTATCGCTTTCAAGACTGTACAAGAGTCCCTAAATGATAAGCGCCTGTGTGTTCATTCACCGATCTATCTGAAGCTTCGTGATTGACCTGTACTCAGTATTCACTTGAATTGTTGGCATGAGTATGTGTGCAGGGTACTTAAGAAGGTCCTTGGGAAAATGGAATTAAAACCAAGTTTGTTATGATGCAAAAACATTAGAATTCTGTGTATATTTTTAAAGATTATTTTTATTGCCAAGTCAGATATAAAGAGAGGAGGAGATACAGAGAGAAAGATCTTCTATCCAATGATTCACTCCCCAAGTGACTGCAATGGCTGGAGCTGAGCCAATCTGAAGCTAGGAGCCAGAAGCTTCTGTGTCTCCCACACAGGTACAGGGTCCCAAGGCTTTGGGTGGTCCTTGACTGCTTTCCCAGGCCACAAGCAGGGAACTGGATGGGGAAGTGGGGCTGCCGGAATTAGAACTGGTGCACATATGGGATCCCGGCATGTTCAAGCCAAGGCTTTTAGCTGCTAGGCCACTGTGCTGGGGGGCCCTGTGTATAGTTTTTTAATACCTGCATTTTTCATGAACTTTTTAAAGATCCCTTTTTTTGTAGATTTCAACTCTAAGTTGCATTTTCCATGAACATTTTGAAGTACCTTCATTTAGTTCAGCAGTGCTTGATGTATGTTGACTGTCATCAGAAAATGCTATTCAGATTCTGCATCTGTACTTGTACACTTGATTCTTTCAGGCCTGATACTTACTGGTACGGAATGTTCCCTGTTACCTACTTTTTTCTGTGTCAATTCATTGGGAATGGTTGTTTGGGTTTCTATCATGTATAGATTAAGTTAATTTTTTTTATAGCTTTATTTGAATAAAGATTGGACAGGTTTAAGGCTGAGCAGAACTTTGAAAGATGTTAAAAGTCTTGCCTCATCTTGACACTAATTCATTATTTGTCATTAATTGGAATGATTTTTTCATGTAAGTTTAAATCTTTCCAGTTACTGTTACTCTCAGTATTCCTTTTGTGTGTCCTTTTGAACTCTGTGCTTGTCCTTTATTACTGTAATTAGGCAAACTGAGGCCATAGCAGTTTATATTTCTCTAGGTAGCTCTTCATTTTTGTTAACCAGGATTTTAGAGAGGGATCATGAGTTGCTTTTTTGTTTTTTTCTTTTTTTATGTAGATGATTTCCAATTCTGAGTTATTTTAACTTTTTAAGGGTTTAGAATTGCACTTTTTTTTTTTTTTTTTAAGATGAGGGAGAGACAGTGGTGGTTTACTCTCCACACTGCAGTGGCTGGAGCCTCTTGCAGATTTCCCACGCAGGTTCAGGAGCCCAGGGTTTTGGGCCATCCTCCATTGTTTTCCCAGGCATGTTACCAGGGTGCTGGATCCAAAGTGGAGCAGTAGGGACATAAACTGGCACCCCTTGGGATGCCTGTGTTACATCAGCTATCATATGAACGCTGTCTCTACAATACATTCAGAATCTGACTTCTTATTTCCTCACTTTACTACCACTCTGATTTAAACTTCCTTTTACCACCAAGATTTTATTTCAGGGTTCCACCCTCTCTAAAATCTTACACTCCTTTCCCCTGCTTACACTTGTTACGAAATAAGGTTTGTCCTGTCCAGCCATCTAGGCACGTGTGCTAATGGACTAGTTGCAATATTGTCCATGTAATTGAGGAAGTTAAGTTTTTAATTCAGTTTAATTTCAGTGGATTTAAATTTAAAAGATGATATTCAATTCAGTTCCTGGAAAACTTTTAGTATATTTGGAACAACTTAGGGTATGTGAATCTGCTTTTTTAAACTGCAAATTTTACAAAATCTAAATTCAGATCAAGTATTTCCGATGAAGATTTAGCGTCCAAATTGAGATTTGCTTTAAGTGTAAAATACTCACTGGATTTCAGACTTAGTAAGAAAAACAAAAGTAATAATCTTCTATTAACTTTGATTACATGCTGAAATGGCAACATCCTAGATAGATTGGGCCTAATAATTATTAAAAAGTTTCACTTATTAATGTCTGCCACTCCTAGCAACTTTTCTGCGTGGTTCATGTTATAATTCTTTTGGAGGGTGCTGTTGTCGTTTACTTCTAGAGTTAAGCTGTTTATCCTGGCACTAGAATGTAAGCTCCATGTGGGCAGGATTGGATTCTTTCTGTTTTCCTGCTCAATCAGCAATTCCCCAACAAATTTGCTTGAATTTGAATGAATTACTACTTTAAAAAATGCATTATGAATAAAAAGTAAGACAAACTGTATGTACGTACTGGAACATAAATAATATTATATATATTTATAGATATATAATAATCTATATAGATATACATATACTTCTTAGCTTTAAGTAAAATCCAAATATGAAAAGGCAAAGGATATGGCTGGGCAAGAGGGGAAATCCAGATGGCTAATAAAATTTCAGCTTCATTCCCATTTTCAGCAAGTCCATACTTGAATGAATTATCCTGTGCTTATAAATTTCACATAAAAAGTATTCTTCTGTGGAGGGTATTTTTTTTAATATCACTAACCTTAAACTGAATATTCTTGACCTCATAATTCCATTTCTAGATTATTTTTAAGGATGCAGTGACAATTGTATGAGAGTTTAAAATATTGTTCATTCAGGCTTTTGTAATACTAAAAGTGTTCAGGTGTTCAAGAAATCTAAAAAGGTATTAGGGCAGGATGGCAGCTTAATAAATGGGAAATATTTTAAAAGTTTGGCAAAAAGTCTTACTGAACCAAATTTATATTTTAGCTGTCGAGAAAGTTGATCATATGTATGTTAAACAGAATTTTTAAAACATGTCTATAGTCTTTCCAGATTCTCATTTATAAAAGTCTTACTATTCTATGTTGATATCTTTTACCTTTTCTCTTGATGAATTTGAGGCTTTTTAGACTGAAGTGAATTAAAATCTAAAATACTGTCAGAATTATCGTTTTCCTGTTTAGTGCTTTAACAGAAACATCAGTTACAGTGTCCTTACTTTCCTTATAATACAAAGTACTGGGAAAGTATTTTGTGGGAATAGTTTCATGTAAATGTGTTAATACTTACTTCATTTTCTTACTTTTCAGAATTATCATGAAATTATGACTCGTCATCCTGAAAATTATCAGTGGGAAAACTGGAGTCTAGAAAATGTTGCCAGCATTTTAGCTCACCGATTCCCCAATAGTTACATTTGGGTGATAAAGTGTTCCCGGATGCATTTGCACAAATTCAGCTGCTATGACAATTTTGTGAAAAGCAACATGTTTGGTGCTCCAGAACACAGCCCCGACTTTGGAGCTTTTAAGCACCTCTATTCTTTATTAGTGAATGCTTTTAACTTGAGTCGTAACAGTTTGCTATCAAAGAATGTGAATGTGTGGAATAAGGACTCCAAAACATCTAATTGTAGACCCAATTCTCCCACTACTAATGGTTGCCAAGGAGAAAAAGAGAGGACCTGTGGAAAATTTAATGAGTCTGCCATGGAATTTTACCCACCGTCACTAAATGGTGCATCATTTACTTTGATTGGATTCAGTAAAGGTTGTGTTGTTTTAAATCAGTTGCTTTTTGAAATGAAAGAAGCCAAGAAAGACAAGAACATAGATGCTTTCATTGGAAGCATAAGAACGATGTACTGGCTTGATGGTGGTCACTCCGGAGGAAGCAATACTTGGGTTACTCATCCAGAAGTCTTGAAAGAATTTGCACAAACAGGGATTGTTGTTCACACCCACGTAACACCTTACCAAGTGCATGACCCCATGAGATCTTGGATTGGAAAGGAGCACAAGAAATTTGTTCAGATACTTGAGGATTTTGGAATGCAGGTGACTAGCCAAATTCATTTTGCAAAGGAGACTCCTTCCATAGAAAATCACTTTAGGGTTCATGAGGTATTTTGAGACCTATAAGAATTCTCTTGTTCTTGCCTAGAACATAAGCACTTTCAGTGGTATAAATTCAGACAATGAGATGTAACTTGTAAGTGAATTATTTTTGATGATATGTGTAAGTGCATTTCTTCAGTTAATAGGAATTCATAGGTGCATTGTCATTTTGCGATGGGGTAAACATACATTCCTAAAATATGTGTAATGTACAATGGTGTTCTTTGCTTATGAATATGAGCAGTTTTAAGTTTGGTTACATTCAAATTACTTAATTTGAAATCTAAAAAGGTGGTTTGTGATAATCCCTTAGGAAATATAAAAGTTGTTAATATAGTCCCTAATGGTAACTAACATTGTTGGAATTAGTTGATTTCCTGAATGATTTCAAATAATTTTGATGACATTAAAACAATTAGTTCAGAAACCTGAGAACATTTCCTTTCTCTTCAGAGCAAAGCACATGATTTCCCATCTGGAATTAACTATTCTGCCTCTTGTATTCCTAACTTACAGACACATTACTAATGTGCTAACAACTGTTTCTTAAAGAGTCAAAATACTACACCTCAGCACTATGGCTCAATTTTTAAGTATTTATTTGAGATACAGACACAGACGAAGATAGCTCCCAATGCTGATTCACTATTCAATGCCTCTGACTGCTGCAATTCGAACAGGCTGAGACTGCAAGCCCACGCTTGGTCTAGGTCTCCCTGTGGGTGTCAGGAGCCTCACTTACAGGGACCACTCCCAGGGTTTAAATTAGCGGAAGTAGGAGCCAGAGCCAGGTACTGAGATAGGTATTCCATGTAGGATGCTAGTATCTCAATCAATGACTTAATCTTTAGGTCATATGCCAAACCTGTGGCTTAATGTTTAATTGGTAGTTTTCAATTATTTTAGGTAAGACAGTTTGGAGTTTGTTGAATCTTGGCCCCAAAGTATTTGTTTTGGAGAAAATGGTTTAAATTGACCATAACTATGTATATACATATATTTGATAAAAAACATACTACAGAACAGATTTCAAATTCATTATATCATCTTTGAAAGAGACCGACTTTGGTAAAATAAATATATAATGCTGTATTAGTTAGTGCTGTATTGAAAAGGAGACATATTCCACAGACCTAAATCAATGTTCCTCTAGAAGCATGATTTTGTCTGCCAAAAGAAAATAGCTCTCTTTGGCCAAAATGCAAAATTTCACTGCTATAAGAAAAGTTATAAGGGAAAGTTTGAAGACACAAATGATTTAGTTTTGGCTGAAAAACTGAATTTGCTTAACACTGCTACATAATCTGGGTGAAGTTTCCTTCTGCCCGTTTTTCCTGACCTAGATAAATATATTTTGAGAAACCAAGACCTAATGAGTTTGAGCCTACACTGAACTGAAACAGTGGTATGTTTACAATGAACGGTGAACAGTCACTACTTGTATATTAGTAATTAGCTTTTACAGTCATGGAGTAACTAAGCAGGAAAAGTCTGAGGCTTCATCCTGATCCAGTGGATCTTCATTTGCAAAACAATATGGAATAAAAATGATTTCCAATTTCTTAGAATTATATCTAATGACTTTTTACATTCCAAGTGTTCAAACTTATGAGATAAAATTCTTATCAGATGCTTAAAAATATTTTTGATGTTTAAATAATTCTATACACTACAGGGGAATATTTTTAAAGCACTTTTATATTAGTGTCTTTAAATCCCTGCTGTTGTTTTTTTTTTTTTTTGAGACCAAAAAATTCCTGTCAGGTTAGTCTGATTTTAACGTATTTTGCCTTCAAAGCCACTATGATTGGGTGGCTTTTTTTTTTTCCCAATGTAATAATCCTAGGTTAAATTCACTTCTTTTTTTTTTTTAAAAAGATTTATTTTTATTGGAAAGGCAGATATACAGAGATGAGTAGAGACAGAGAGGAAGATCTTTTGTCCGATGGTTCACTCCCCAAGTGACTGCAATGGCCGGTGCTGCACCAATCCAAAGCCGGGAACCAGGAAACTCTTCTGGGTCTCCCATGAGGGTGTAGGGTCCCAAGGCTTTGGGCTGTCCTTGACTGCTTTCCCAGGCCACAAGCAGGGAGCTGGATGGGAAGCAGGGGCGCCGGGATTAGAACTGGCACCCATATGGGATACCAGCATGTGCAAGGCGAGGACTTTAACCACTAAGCTATTGCACCAGGCCCTAAACTCACGTTTTTAATGTAAAATAGCTGGGTTATCATTCAACAGAGTGGGTAAAGACAGACACTTCTATTCACAAGATTAACTGAAATAGGCAAGAGTTTTAAGATATTCATTCGTAGCATTTGAAATATTTAAAAATCTGAGTGCTTTAGCTATCCAGTCCTGTAAATGCTTATTTCCAAATGGTGTACGTTGAATGGATATTAATAACATTTGAGAACATAGGACTACATCACATCAAAATAAGACAACATGAAAAAGTATAAAAGTGACCGATATTCAGATGTTTTCAGTCTAATATTTCAAACTGATCCTTTCTCTGCATTTGTTTAAAACTGTTACTGTAAAATGTTAGTGTATCCTTTTAAATCGTGCCTTTGTCTTGAGTCAGTTGAGGAAAGTGTCTTACAAATACTGTGACAGTCGTTGCTCCACAGCATGAATGTATAATGGTATTAAAGGTAATAATCCCCTGTTGCTTGGATGTGTCTCATATTGTGTTAAAAGTTTAGATTATTTGAAAGGAAGCTATTTGTGTCTATATTGTCTATTTTCTATTAACTTACATTTTTCTTTTTTTCCAAATGAACTCATCTCTTTTCCCTTTGCTCCATAGAGGTTTGAATTGCATTCTTCCCTCCCCAACCCGTTGAATTTCCTGAAGAGGATCTCTCACATATCTATATTCCTTTAGCTGCATCTTTCACATAGTATCTTAGTGCCTCTCAAGGAAAAAGTAACCAGTGAAGATGCAGCATCAAGTCCCAGCATGTCAGTATGAGTAACAGACTAGAAGTTAAAATATGAAGCAGGTAGTAATATTTGTGATTTTAGGTTCCGTTAAGAAACGTGGTAGAGGATGTGATATGGACTTTGTAAACTCATATTTCTGTTTGAAAGGCAGAGAGGCCTAGGAAGCTCTCAGACCATGTAGAAGAGATGGCCAGTGACTTTTGATGGTCTTTCTAGTATCCTGTCTAATGGAACTTAATTAAAAGGGATACAGCCTAGGTGTATTTAAGACACCAAATATTCACAGCTTATATGCTACAAGCAAGACTTGTTTTTTTTGGTTAATTGTAGATTTAGCTTCATTGTCTTAGGTGACTTTTTATAGGTGCAGGAAAGGCTCATTAACTAAAGTTCTTCCCAAAGGTTCACGTACCTGTTGCTCAAATGGATGAAGGACACTAATGAAGCTTTGTTCACTGTTTCCCTTGTTTTAGTATCTCATACAAAGGAGAAACTTGATATTAATTCCTGAATAGAAAGCATTCCAGGGTATTCATATACTAAGACAAAAACCATTGATGTTCCCGAAAAGCTAGTAAGTACATTCCAGAATATTTTGAAAGGTTAATGTGAACAAAAATTCAAATGCAAAAACTGAATTCTAGTCATCCTACCTAGTTATTCAGTCTCTTGCAGGAAACCACTATCACTGGTCTCTTGTAAATTCTTGCAGAGGTAATTCTATGCATTTGCATATCAATGTTTACACAGTGTCACTTGTCATCTATTCAAAAGCTTTTGAGATGTGCTGCACATAAAGGAGAAGAAAATGAGAATCTGGTCATTGCCACTGTAGTCCGAGTTTCTGTCACAGCTGTGTGAGCATGGACACTCACCTGTGCAATCTGGGTTAATTAAATGTTCTGAGATCCCTTTCGACAATAACATTATATGACTTGAAATTCCTAAGAAGATGCAACATAATCTGTATGTTGCTTTACGCATTAAAAACAAACATTTCATTTGGTCTTAACCCAGCAGGCAGAAAATATTATGTTTAGTGTGTATTTATCAACCAATCCTAGCATCAGGGATGATGACCAGGGGGTCACCGCTGTGGCACAGTAGATAAAGGCTCTGGTTTGAGCGCTGGCTGCTCTGCTTGTGTTCCAGCTCCCTTCTAATGTTCCTAGAACAGCAGAGAATGGCCCGAGTCCCTGGGATCCTATACCTCTGTGGGAGACCCAGAGGAAAACTCCTGGCTGCTGGTACTGGGTCGGTTTAGCTCTGGCCATTGTGGCCATTTGGGGAGTAAACCAACAAATAGATCTCTCTGTAAATCAAAAACAACTTCCAAAAGCTAAGTTCCAGCTTTCTAAATATAATTTATTTTAAATTAATGTTTGAAAGGCACGCTGTCCATCTGATAGTTCATTCTGAAGATGTACCTACAAGGCTGGGCTGGGCTGGGCAATTTGGAAGCTGGGAACTCAGTCCAGGTCTTCTGCATTGCACTAGTGGCTAGAATCCAATCACTTGAGCCATCACTGCTACTTCCAAGGTCTGCATTTGCAGGAAGCTGCACTCGGGAAGGGCAAGATGCTGACCTTAGGTACTCCAATGTCAGACACAGCAATCAACTGGCAACTTACTCCTGGGCTAAATGCCCACCTTGAAGATAGTAACAATGCAAAGGGACTTACCTCAAATCTGTCAGCAAAGAAGGAATGTAATTCAATGGAGTAACCAGCAGTAGTCATTGACTAAGTACCTGCCCTTGAATGATCTCCTTGCATTTTTATCTTAAAGATGACTACAATAGTTTATTAAACAGTTTGTTTAACTTGTTTTACATCATCTAATTTGCTTCCATAAATTAAGTGAAAATAACAATCTGTTCACTTGCAAGTAAATTTGTTCCTGTGTGACTGAATTTGCACTTAATCCTTATTGTTATAAGTTTTACATATTTATCTATTTTTGTTTTTACTATGCAACCTAAGAGTGATTTTTTCCTTTACTGACAGAAAAACAACTAGAGTTTTTATTTATACTAAAGTATTATCAAATATCAAAGTTTTATAATTATATCTGGCTAATATATTAAGGCAATTTCTTTTCTGTAACATTTATTTCTCTTTGTTGTCCTTAGTCACCAAGTCTCTCCACAGATGCCCAGGAAACACAAATTCTTAAATATCTTTTCCCCTTGTATTGCGCTATAATTTTTTAATGCCTAAAACTAATTTAGTTACAAACTGATACATGAGAGGGTAAATGAACTTTAATAGAGAAAATATTTTTCTATAATTAAATGAATCAAATTGATTTGCTTATGAATTGCTCTATTTGGACACATTTGTGTTTAATAAATATATTTGGTTTTCTTCAGCGACTTACTGTCTTAAATGACAACATTATTAGGATTTCTCATTCATCATTATTAAACAATTCTTTCCTTAAAAGGGATAGGTAAAAAATTTAGTGAGGAATAACTTAGGTTAAGGTACAAATATATAAACTAATCTATTTTCTATCCTAGAAAAGCTGGGGAAATAAAAACCCTGGAATAAATGAGTGGCCAAAAAAAAAAAAACAAAACACCAGGACCAGATCAAACATTTACTTTGATAAATCACAAAGCAATCCAGATCGCCACCATCAAATCCTGTGATTGTATGTGCTGATTATGCTTTGGAACCCTCTGAGATCCATGAGATGCCCACACCAAATCTTGGTAACAATGAATCAAGCACCAGAGGGTTCAGCACTAGATGTCTGGGTGTTTGACTAAGTCCTTCCAAGTTTCTCATTCTGGGCAAAGGCAGTGGATACTGAAGATGTGTACCTTTTTTTCCCTGTCCCAACAGAAGCTGATTTAAAAACTGTCTGCTCTTCAGCTGCATGCTGTACCTTTCCCAGCTCCAGCAGACCTTATTGGCTGAAGGGTTATTCCAAACTCTGTCAGTGACCAGCTCAGTGATAGACAGATCTAAGTCACTTTAGAACACTGAGACCCAAGATTTGGTAGTGAATGCTGGGAGAGCTTTTTCATATTAATACAGGGCCCCTGGCATCTAGCCTGACTTCCACTGCATATAAATGAAGACGCACAAAGCCCCAACTGCTACTGGCAATCATCCCGTGACCAGGAGGGTAGCCAGCCGTAGGTTGGTGCCAATGTTGTGGTTGAAGGGAAGGGGAGGGAACATGGTGTCTTTTGATGGCATTACTGAATCACTGGATTGTAAACAGTGAAGCCTATGCTATCAGTTGATGCTGTGTGTCATGAAGTAAAAACAAGATATTTCTATTGTTTAAGTCTTTGTAAGTTCGATTTTTTTTTTGTTATTTGCATCAGAGAACTAATGGCAGCAGCAATACAGCATTTTTTATAACAGTCAATAAAGCAGAAACCACATAAACATCTCTTAAAATCATTTAATCTGGAAATCACATTTATCTGCCATATTTTAGCAAAGAATAAATCTAAAACTTAAGAAATATGTTGTAGTTTTCCAGTATTTGGGCTAAATTTATGAAAATGTTTACATTCATTCTATTCATTTTTACTCAAAGTTCTTGCTGTAGGCTTTGTCTTGAATGTGTAAGACCATTCGCCGTGCATAGAAATCCCTGTATTCCTCTGGTAATTCAGCAAGTGTTTTTAAGGCTCTGTCCAAAATTTGTGCAGCTCTTGATGCTGCTGTAGGATCTTTGTTTCCATAGGTATCTGTTTTATCATAGCATTCGGATGGAAGGTGCTTCCAAAAGACATTCACTCCCACTCCAAACTCTTCAGAAATTACATTATGGAACCATAAAGCTGGAGAAAGTTTTAAAAAACAAGTTAAAAATAAAATCTACAGTTTAAAAAAAAAAAGCCCAAAATGTCAGTGAAATATCACGAATTGCATATAGCCAATGTAAGAAATGATTCTTGTAACCAGATCCCTTCGTTAGCACACTCCCAGCTTTTAACAGAATCATTTTAACTTTTATGAATTGCCAACAAATTTAAAGTGTCAATAGCACAACCCTTTTAAAACCTTTAAAAATAAGATTTTTTTCCTTTTAACTTGAAAGACATAATAAAATTATATTTGTTTGGTAGCTCTCTAATTTCGGGCTGTATTTCGTGTTACTTGTTTACACTTTCTGAGTCATACAACCACATAAAAAATGTTTTGGTTTTTTTTGTATGCAGAACATTTCAATTATTTGAAGCATATCTTTGACCTTTTCTGATTCAGTACATTTCTTTTATTCTCAAAGACTTCCTGCTCAAGATGCAATTTAGTTTTCTAACTTGCTTAAGTTTGCATTCATTATAGCTGCCTCAGGTTCAAATTTTAATGCAATTATATTTCTTGTAGCTCTTCACAATAAATCTATAAAACTGTAGCATGTATTTTGGTAGTAAAGATGATGAATAAATTTTATACTGTATACCTAATTTTTGACTTTTTTATAAAGTTTACTTTGTCTTCAACTGAATCTAAATACTTTCAAAATATGAGTGCTAAAGATGTACTAAAGCAACACATCTAAACAACAAAGATGAAATAGGAATCACAATAAAAATGTTTAATTTTGAGAAAAGGAAAATTCAAGTTTTAGAAATAAATCCATCTTAAGAGAACACAGGAAAAACAACTTAAAAAATATTCTGGTTCGTAGAACTAGCTTTCAAACGTAATTTTAATTACTTTTAGAATCTTTTTCCTTATTTAATATAACAGAAAAACTGTGCTGTTAACCTACAAAGATGGAGCTTTTGCTTCAAAATGCATGAAATGTTAGAAAATTCAAGTTTTTCTTTTTCAAAAAGTTGTATACAGAATCAGGAGAAAATGCTCAGCTTTTAACCATATTCTCTGAGGTCCAAAGATACAAATATTTAAATAAATAAAAATTTTAAAATGGCTAAGAATTTAAGACTAATGGGGTGGTTGCTTTTAAAGAGTATAAACAATAAATCAGTGAAACTAAATCTTACATCAAGAATTATATGAACGTGATTGTGTCAGGCCATTTTGGAGATATAAGGCATTTCTTGTTGAAGAAATTTATAATCTGGCCTCAATGAGACAGTCACATTTTTATCTTCAATTAATATCGGCCACCTAGTTCAAATCTATTATTGAAAAGAATCATTACTGATTGATAATTAATACAGTAAATTAGATACTGGAAATAAAACTATACAAATGGAATTTATTAATGAATCCCATGGGTTTTAATTATAACTTTTTAAACTTTTAAGTGTTCACTTTTAACTATTTAAACAAATGTTAACTACAGTGCTGCGATTACTAACAATGTGCAAATTTCATGGCCTTTCAAACAAAGACTGTGATACTAAAATTCAGACTATATAGAAATACATAAAAAAATAAATGATAGGCTACCGAGAGTATTAGATTTTATAAAATCTTTATGAAAAAGTATTAGATTTAATAAAATCTCTGTGATGTGTTTAAGCTTTGAAAAATACCATGTCTTAGTACACATGTATGACAAAGATGTTTTAACAAAAATAATCAGGCATAATCTTTTCCCAGATATAAATTGTAATGACATGATTTAGTAAAATAATCTGCAGTACATTATTTAGTTGCCATTGAAAAACAGGGCTATTAATTTTTTACTTTGAGTTTACATAAGTTTTACATGAGTCTATACGTGCACACATGTGCTTGCACACACATATAAAAATATCATTCATGACAGGATAGATATAGAGGATACAGTTTTTTACTAAAAAAATTACCAAAAGGATGAATGACAGAGTACAAATTTTATAAGCAAAACATGACTGAAATCTAGAAAGCTTACCAGGAATGAATAATATATCACCAGCTTCAAGGGAACACTCATACCTTCTGGCCTTGGTAAAGAGTGGATATCTAGCCAAGTCTGGATTATCTATATTCAGCACTTGTGACTTAGTACCTGAAAATTATACAGATTGAGCTAAATTTAAATTTTTCAAACAGCAGAAATATAAATTTGAAAATTTACTGAAAAGACAGCACAATAGAATTACTGTCTCCACAGTGCAAGAACAGTTACTATTCTGAAACCTAAGACAATTTTCGGTGATCCACTCTTTAATTATGACCATTGTACACCCATGTAATATAATTTAAGGGAATCTGAAAGTCTGATTCTTCCTATAGCCTATCATTACATGTATATACTTATACAATAGGAAAGACAATACAGCATAATTAGAATTCCTAAAGAGGTTTTTCTATAAAAATGAAGAGGATGCTCAGAAAGAATAATTGATTATACTTTAGAAATACAAACCTAAAAAAATAAGCATACCTGATAAATATAAATATGGGGCATCTCGAGGACTGAATAGTACCACACGCTTTTTTCCTGTCACTTGTATTAAAAAGTTATCCATTACCTGTGAATCAATAAAAGTACATTTACGGGTGAGCAATACCTAAAATTAAAATAAACAGAACCAATAACATTCTGTACAATTTAACTATAAAACTTACCTTTAAGATGACTTAATAGAACCTCAAACTCTTAGTCATACACAAATGTAACAATGAAAGAAAATATATATCCCTTATACAAGTGTATATTAAGATATTTCAGCAGTACTGCCATAACATGGAAAAGATTAAAAAAATATGAACTTGGGAGTTAAGGACCTATTTGCCTTTTCCCCGCCATTAACTGACAGGATGGCTAAACCTACTTGAGTCTCCCTATGGTGAATTTTCAGTTTGTCAATGAACACTACACAGTCATCACCTGGCAACAAAGTGAAAGCACTTAGAACTATGAGGTGTTAGAAAATACAAGGTATGCTGCAGTAATTGCTAAACCCTGAATATACAGCACTTATATTCAGTAAGAATTTGATTTTAAGCATCAGAAATATAACCTGGAAAATTGGCTTAATATACATTTTTTTAGTGTTTGTTTTTAAATTTTTGTTTGAAAGGAAAAGAGAGTAAAAGACAAAGACGTCTTCCAGCCATTTTGTTTCACTCTCCAAATTCCCACAACAAGCAGGGTTGGGGTCTTGAATTCCATCAGATCTCCCAGATGGGATGAAGGGACCCATCCACTTCAGCCACTATCTGCTACCTGCTAGGAAGGAGGCATTTGCAGGTAGCTGGATCATACACAGGGTAAAATGGGATTTGAACAGCATGCATCCCACATAAAAGCTTAGCCCACCTTACCACAATACCTACTCCTTAATATATTTATTGCTGAAACAATATTAACTTCTTCTGTTCTCCTGTATGCAAGAATAGTTTTTTGGTTTGTGAAAATGTTAAATGGTTGAGCCACATGATTCTCAATGAAGAAATTGATCACCAAACAAGACATATTGATGATGATTTACATATCAAGTTTCCCTATGCATTTCTCCTTCTAGCACTAATCTTTTACATGTATATTCCTTATTCAGATATTGATACTAGTATTTCTTTAACTTTCAGCTTTACAAGGCAAGGAGTATTACTCAAAATTTAAAAGTCAAAGAATTAGTTAAAATGCATTTGAGTTATTAGTTTCTTACCATGTCATTCCTGTAAATCCTTAAAAAGATAATATATTAGTATTCATGTCTATCTCATTTAATTATAGATTTGCTATGCTAAAAATCCTCTTCAAGGGGTACTCAAATGAATTATAAAAATACATGTAAAATTAGTTTCCTCAGAATTTTAAAAACCAAGTAGTAACATTTTAAAATATTTTAAGCATTTAAAAATGCTTATGTATATATTCAAGTATTTAGATAGAAGCAGTTACAGTAGCATAAGACAAATATTCTACACATCTCACTGTCCTACGATAATGTAGCAGATATCTGATGTTCTCAAGGGATAAATATCCTAAAACCTTCTGATATGTTCAAATGCTTACGGTTGGAAATGACTGTTAAGAACAGAACTCTGGATGGCCAGAGTCCTGTGCAGTCTTCACATGCTCTCATACAAGCTCACCACTTTCTCCATTTGAAAAATGGCCCAACATGGTTTTACATGGTTCTTCACATGTAAAACAACAAAAAAAGCACGTCTTAAAACTTAACATTTACATGCATATGTATATAAGCAAATATACATGCTTATGTATATTTGATGAGTCAAGAACAAAAATCAGAGAAAAAAATATAAGGAACTAATTTAAGGCTCTTCTAAATCATCTTGTATCACTATCTTACAGAACACCTATTTTCAAAACTCATGCTTCAGCAAATTGCACAGCCAAGACCTTGAGGGTAGCCCATAGAAACTGTGAATTTTAAATCTAGAATTACTAAAGATCTACTGCAGCTTTAGTGTAACGTACATTTGTTACACTACATACATACATACATCCCATTTGGAAAACATACATCATAATGAGTCCAAAGTTGTAATCCTGGTGAACTAATTCGAAAAACACTGGAAAAGAACTGTTCCTTTTGGAAGAAGTTTGGAAACTTAATATCTCCCTCCAACAAAGGAAACTGCTTCCTGATATCTGCAACATCCTGCATTAACAAAAACACACACAAAAAAGTTAAGTTAGAAAAAAAAAAAGGGAAAGATTATTAATGACAAATACAACATTGGCATAAATCTTATTTTATCCAACAGAAGTTAATATAAGTCATGATACTGAAAGGTGATAATGAAAAATACTATGCACTGTTTTAAATTATTATCTATCTGCCAACATATGACCTTTATAATAAAGGAATGACAGACTGTATATTCCCACTTAATAATATCAACCTTAAGTTTGAAGTGCTTCACTGCTACAAAGGTTCTTTCCATTCCAATCAACAACTATACACCTGTCTTCTACATTAATATGAAGTATTATAAATTCAGGAGACAACACTTTGAATGTCACCAATTTATGTGAAGCCTGTGGGGTCTATTGAGGGAGGAGAACAAAGGAAGGGAAAGAACTAAATGGTGACTTAAACAAAAAAACCAAATGCTTCCTGATCACATTGTTGGTGGTAGGCCCTGCATAGTAGCCTGGTGACTAAAGCCCTCACCTTGAACAAGCCAGGACCCCATATGGACGCCTTCTAGGCCCAGTGGCCCCGTTTCCCACTCCCTGCTTGTGGCCTGGGAAAGCAGTCAAGGATGAGCCAAAGTCTTGGCACCCTGCACCCGCGTGGGAGACCCAAAGAGACTCAGGGCTTCAGATCGGCTCAGCGCAGCCTTTGTGGCCTCTCAGGGAGTGAATCATCAGACGGAACATTTTCTGTCTCTGCTCCTCTCTGTATATCTGACTTTGCAATGAAAATAAAATAAATCTTAAAAAAAAAAAAACCATTATCAGTGCTTATATAGTGAGTTATTATTTAGGATTTTAAAGGATTATTTTAGACCAATTGTTTTTCGCTTGATGGTCATCTGTGAGACGCATGGTGGAAGAGGTCTCTTACTGCATAGAGTTTAGATGACCTCTGATAATACATCCTACCTGAAACGTAAGCATCGACTTTTAGCACATTCCATCTTAAGGTGCAGGAAAATAATGAAAAAGAATAAAACAAGTTATGTGTCAGACAAGAAGCACAAAAATGACACTTTCAGTGAACATGGAAATACCTATTCAGGTTTTCAAGGAAATCTTTTAAATCCAGAATTCTTACCTTTCTCGGATCTTCTCCAAGTGACCGCAGGTAGTATTTCTCATCCTTACACATTCCAGAGAAAAGGTAACATCATAATTCATTTTAAAATATTATGAGATAAGGCAGGAAGAAAATAAGTCTTAAAACAACCCAGCTATGTAGTTTTCTAAAAAGTTCAATTATTTTATTCTCTACGAATGCTCTCTGGTGGCCATTTGAAGAACTGCCTTTACAATGTGCAATAATTAGATCCAAAAAATTAAGAAAATAAACTCTAAAGGCAACACACACAAATTGTACCTTGAGTCATAATGATTGCAATTGTACTCCACATTACTTAGGCTCTTAATGATATCTTAATACAAAATTAAAGAAATTCCGATTATATAGCTCATTTGATGCCAAAATATTAAAGTTCAACAAAAAGTTTCCTAACATACATAATGCAAATAAAAAAAGATAAGTAAGAATATATTACACCTTTAATAACATTTTTTTAAAAAGATTTATTTTTTTTACTGGAAAGTCAGATGTACAGAGAGGAAGACCTTCCATCCATTGATTCACTTCCCAAGTAGCTGCAACAGCAAGAGATGAGCTGATGCAAAGTCAGGCCAGGAGCTTCTTCCAGGTCTCTCACACAGGTGTAGTCCCAAGTCTTTGGGCCATCCTTGACTGCTTTCCCAGACCAAAAGCAGGGAGCTGGATGGGAAGTGGGACATGAACCAGCAAATGCAAGGTGAGGACTTCAGCCACAAGTTACCTGCCAGGTCCAATTTTAAAAATTAGAACACTACTTGTTTACTATACTGTAGGCCTTGTAAAACAGGTATTAAGACCCCCCATTTTTGGGCCTGGTGCGGTGGCCTAGTGGCTAGGGTCCTCACCTTGAATGCACCGGGATCCCATGTGGGTGCCAGTTCTAATCCCTGCGGCCTTGCTTTCCATCCAGCTCCCTGCTTGTGGCCTGGGAAGGCAGTCAAAATGGTCCAAAGCCTTGGGACTCTGCACCTGCGTGGGAGGCCTGGGGGATCTCCTGGCTCCTGGCTTCGGATCAGCTCAGCACTGGCTGTTGCAGTCACATGGGAAGTGAATCATTGGATGGAGGATCTTCCTCTCTGTCTTTCCTCCTCTCTCTATAACTGACTTCGCAGTAAAAATAAATCTTAAAAAAAAAAAAAAAGACCCCCATTTTCTAGATTCTGAGGCTCAGGAAATAATTTGGACGTCCTTTGAAAGCTAACTCTGAATAGCAGGCCTACAGCCTATAGCAAATTCCAGCTACAGCTTAAGAATGGCTACCAGAGAGTGCCAAGGATCTTGAGAATCAAATGTTCTTTTAGATTGACTGTTTAGCCCTTGTTTACACTCCTCTGTATATGTGATCTTAGGCTTTTTACTTGTTGAGTTTTAGGGTCAGTGGCACATTAAGCCTGCAAATTACAAGATAAACTGAAATTGTGTTTTTGTAAACTTTTTTTTTTTTAAAAAATGAAGGAAGGGTATTGAGGGAAGGAAAAAAGTATAATAATCTTAAAACTGTACCTGTGAAATACATAAATCTGACCCTTTTATATTAATACTAGTTTTAACTGAAAAATTATTCTTTTAAATGAAAATCCATTTATTACACATACATAATCCTTTCTTATTAAAATGCTAACAGGGCAATCCTCACGGTACAGCGGGTTCAGCAGCCACGTGTGATACCTACAGCCCAGATTCGAGCCTGAGATGGAATCTCATCTCTGTCTCATTCAGCTTTCTGCAAGTGCACCAGGAGACAGGACATGATGGCCCCTCCCCCTTGGGAGACCCCGATGGAGTTCCCAGTGGCAGGCTTGGGCCTTGTCCAGCCCCAGCTGTTGTAGGCATTTAAGAAGTGAACCAGCAGATGGACGACTGCTCTGTCTCCCTGTCTCTCTTTCATTCTGCCTTCCAAAGAAATAAATACAGCTTTTTGGAAGCTGGTAAAAGCAATTACCTCTGAAATAAAGAATTCTTTATGCTTTTCTTCAGCTGCTCTCTGGACCAACTTGTCAAAAGGTAATGTTCTGAAAGAAATAGAATACCTGGACTTAGTAACAGGTACACAAGCGTTAATTTAAGCGCTATACATATAGGCTTGTTGACTGGGAAATGACTTTTTTCATAGTTTCTTATTTTTATTAGGACCTATTATTATGTAGAATTCTAAATTTTCAAAATTAACTTGCCAGAATATTTACTTGACCTCAGTTGTCTGAAATTTTGGAATTAAAGATTTTAATAGTCTAGCTGGATCCTTATGATCAGCATCCTTCTATTCCAAGTGACTGATACCTCATTATGGTACCTGATTTCCTTGGAAACACACAAACTCTCAGGCTCTGACTGCTTCCTATTTTGTAAAGAATGAGACAAACCAACCGTGCTGCTTCGGAGGAGAGAACAGGCAAATGACACAATGAAGATGGTCATGTTAACACTGTCCCTTCTCCCTAGACATTCAGACATTTGCAACATGAGGACCCACAAGCCAACAATATGACTCTCATCCAACCACATGACCCCATCAGTTTAAAGTTCTGAGGAAAAATCATCTAAGAGAATTTCAGTGAAGTGATCCACTTTTATTCTCCAAAATTTCTGCTCTCTTCTTCCATGCTAAAGAGGAGGGTTGGACACTGCAGAAGCCAAGTTTTTTTCCTTCACATCACAGTATTGAGCCGAAAAGGCTCTCTTCTCCAAGTGTCCTCCTCATCATTTCTAAAAACAGAAGTACTGTTGTGAAGTACTGAAGATGACTTTGTACCAGTAACAAGACCACAATGTACTCAAAAGCCTCTCTGTCCAAGGCCTCTCCTGTACCACACCGCATTGTTGCCTCTGAACATCTGATTAAGTTAGCACTCTTACAGTCTCACTCTCCAGTATCTTCCTACTTGAACCCGTGCTGAAGCATTACACAGATCCAGCGGGCTGCTTTCTCCTCTACGAGGTAACCTCGCGTTGGCTTACTTTCTCCAGTTTTCCTAGAAATACACTTAGCAGATCAATGTGGAATGTCACCTGTGGCATCAGAAAACATTATTTTTAAAACACTCGTTGAATGGTTAAGTACTTCTGCGAGAAGGCTCTGAATGGACTGTAGGTACTTATCAGGAAAGTGGAGGATATGGCCTGCCTGTGTAACTCCCAGAACTGAGTAAGTTCCTTGAAGGAACCTAGAAGCTAAATTCACCGGCTGTTTCAAGCAACTGTTTTTTCTGGATCAGGTAGAGCTAGGAAGTTTCTATACCAACTCCACAGTTTTCTTGTTCTTAATAGCAAAGCCATGACTTGCTGAATCAAAGAAAAAAAAAATGGTTCCTGGATTTGTATCCCCAGACAACAGTCTGATAGAATGGTGTTTCATGCTTTGTTCTCCTCTGCAAAGCTAAGTGAATCTGATGCCACGTTGTAGACAGCCATGTCATCCGGACATGAATGTCACTCTGAACTTGGAGCCACTGCTGTTAATTACAGAGTGAACGCTACACAAGAGCAAAGAGGGGGTCTGCTTTCTATTCAGATCAATGCAGAGTTCTTGGTTTACCACTTTAGTTTCTGACCAATTATAATATGAAACAAATTTATTTGGCATCTTCAAATTCAATGTTTTCCATCACAGACCTCATCATATTTCTTCATTCCAACCAAGCCATTTTGGAATGCAGAATTTGGACCAGTGGGGAAGCTTATCTGGCCCACAGCTACCTCTGTAATTGTTGCAGTTGCTCCCACTTAGCTTTCCTACAAGGGAGAATGCAGAAACGCTTCAGGACCTTTATAAACAAAGGATAGAATGGCAATCCCTTGAGAGCAGAGAGGGCACTGCTCAGTCCAGAGCAACAGAACTGCAAAGCCACCACCAGTCTTCTTCTTTAGGCAGTAACACTTATCGAGGCTTCTGCTACAGCCAGTGTGAAGAGGAATGGGATATATGAACTGGGGGAAGCTTCTTGACCATAAAGGTTATTTATCCTATATGTTTCAAAAAGAAGGGTGTCTGCTAAGAAAGTACCATCTTGTCTGGACTAGCATTCCATTCAGTAATAAAGGTAATGTCACAGGGAGCTAAGATCACAGGTTCCTGGGAGTCAGGCAAGTTGGAGCATATGCCCTGAATTTCATCATTTCAACTTGTATGATCCTGGAAGTTACTGAATGTTTTTAGGACTTTATTTTCTCATAAGTGAAATGATCATAAGCAAGATGTACCTCAAAGACTGAAGGCTAAGTGAGTAATATCATCTAAAATGGATGGCATAATATTTGGTGTATATATATATATAATATATATAATATATATATACACACACACATATATACACATATAGTAGGTACTTAGTAAAGGACAATCGGTGACGTTAATGACAACGATAATATATTTTTAGCAGCATGCAAGTAGCAGTTGACATTTAAATAAAGAAAGAGAGAAACTCCACAGTCCTTTCCATTGTGGAAAGCTGTTTGAAAAAATCAATATTGAGATTGATGAAAATATAAGAGCCAGATGATACCAAAAATTGCATAAGTAGAAGCAGCAAACAAAGCTTTTGAGATTCTGGGGCTAGTAATATGGCATGGTGTAATATCAGTGTCCCATATTGGCACAGATTTGCATCCCTTCTGATACAGCTCTCTGCTGATGTGCCTGGGAAAGCAGAGGAAGATGGCTCAAGTCCATGAGACCCTGCACTCGCATGGAAGACCTGCATGGAGCTCCAAGCTCTTGGCTTGAGTTTGGCAGTGCCCTGATTGTGCAAGCATTTGGGAAGTGAATCAGCAGATGGAAGCTCATTCTCTATTTATTGCAAAGGTAGAGTTACAGAGAAAAGGAAAGACAGAAAGATCTTCCATCCACTGATTCACTCTCCAACTGGCCTCAACAGCCAGAGCTGAGCTGATGGTAAGCCAGGAGCCAGGAGCATGTTCCAGGTCTCCTTCACAGGTGCAGGGTCCCAAAGACCTGCTTTCCCAGGCTACACACACGGAGTCGGATAGGAAGTGGAGCAGCTGGGACACGAAACAGCACTGATATGGGATCCCAGCTCATGCAAGGTGAGGACTTTAGCCATTAGGTTACAGCACCAGCCCATAAATAATTATTTTTTAAAAGGCTTATGAGATTCAGATCTAACCATTTTTTGACCAGAAAAATATCCTTTCATCAAACAAATTCTCTCATTTATGCAATCTTAGCCCTGAAATTAACAGGGAGAGATCCCAAGAAAGAAGTAAAAGTTAGTAGTTGCTGATCAATTTTCAGATTTTAGCTAAAGCAGAAAAGAAACACCAATAATATATTGCGCTACAGGATGTCTCACTTTCTAGTCTTTCTTTGTTTTACAAACCTCTTAGTTTCTATTGCTCGGTATATGCTAAGCTACTAAAGCTACTTTTTCTTTGAGCTAAAAATTTACAACTTTTTAGTAGTTCTACTGAAAGGCTTGGAGGAAGCTGGGAAAGGAACTATTACATAATAATGCTAGTGTTCTAAATACAAGTCTTTAAAAGATGTGTCAAAACATCACAGGGCAATTCAAAACGACGTTTCAATACCCATTTTTTATGCCACTGAACTCCCTGGAAAAGAAACATCATTAAATGCAGGCAGAAAAACACTCATCATTCCAGCACTTTCTTCCACTTTCCTGACTTAATAGGAAATGAAAAGTTCCTTTACCTGGGAAAATTTACAGCAACTAAGTTCTATTCATGACCCATTCAGAACTAAAACTATAATGGTGACAATTCAAAGGATTAAAAATTGGGAAGGCTTTGGCAGCTGCTGTACAACCTTAGAAAATTAATGAAAAAAGCTCTGTGTAAATCATTTCTAAACAGGTCTTTTGTGAACTACACAGTTTTTCAATAGACAGAATTTGATTGGAACAGCATGTATGCTAAGAATTTAAAAGCTATTTACTTTCAAATGAAACTCATGGGAACAGCATATGAAATCAGCAAAATGAGCAGCACTGGAAGCTTTCATGTCTAATCATTCAACAGCTTTTGTCTACTTATCATTTACTTTTAAATGGTTATCAGGAGAAAAATTTAAGGTATTTAAGTTTACTTTATCAACAGAAAATTAAGCCTGACTTTCAAAGTTATTCAAGTTGACAAAAGCTTACACCAAACATCATGTGTCCTAACTTTCTGAAAGCAGAAAGTACGAGACTTTCAGAATTGCCCACACTGAACAGATTACCAATGTGGTATGATCAATGAATCAAACACTAAAAAAGTAAAGCACACCTAACATTACAAATAATCTAAGTCATTACAGAAATTGTCTTCATGACTTCTAACTCTTTTATTTTTAAATTTATTTATTTTTATTGGAAAGGCAGATATACAGAGAGGAGCAGAGACAGAGAGGAAGATCTTTAGTCTGATGATGATTCACTCCCCAAGTGACTGCAATGGCTGGAGCTGAGCCAATCTGAAGCCAGGAGCCAAGAGCTCTTCCGAGTTTCCCACATGGGTGCAGGGTCCCAAGGCTTTGGGTGGTCCTCGACTGCTTTCCCAGGCCACAGGCTGGGAGCTAGATGGGAAGGAGAGCGGCCAGGATTAGAACCGGTGACCATATGGGATCTGCATGTTCAAGGTGAGGACTTTAACCACTGCACTATTGCGCCAGGCCCAAACTCTATTTTTAAAGTCTATGTTTTGTTTGTTTTTGTTTGTTTGTTTTTGCTACCTTTGCCTTTCAAATACAAAATAGAAAAAAATCTAAAATTCAACAGGTAGGTGTGTATTAGAGGCTAAACATTCACTTGACATCTGCATTACATATCACAGTGCCTGGGTTCATGTCCCAGATCTGCTTCTATTCTAGCTTCCTGCTAATATACACCCAGAAAGCAGCAGGAATGGCTCAAATATTGAGTCCCTGCCACCACACAGGACCCTGCATTGAGTTCCAGGCTCCCAGCAGAAAGATCTTTGTCTCTATTGCTCTGGCTTTCAAAAACAAAAACAAAAAAAAATCAGCGCGTGCACACACACACACACACACACACACACACAAAAGTCTTTAGAAACATCTGTGTAATTATATAAATTCAGACTTCCTGCCTTTTAAAATTCACTTGTTCATTGTAAGCCATTTATTCACTGTAGCAAGCCAATAAAAAAATGCCATGCAGTTTTTGTTTAATAATATAAACTTTTCTAAATTATTTGTCTCCCCAGAGTAAACCTCAGAAGAAAATACCTATACACAAAGTTCTTACTAATGAAGTCCATCTGTGCAACTGCAGCAACATGAATCTTCACATCTTGTTTCCCTCCGACCTGGCTTAGGTAATCCACTGTCCACTTGCTTGTACATGGCCCCAGATCGATTCCTTCCAACACCAGTGGCTTTCTCTGCAAGTGAGGGAAAAAGACAATGAAAGACTGTCGAAAAGCCTATAATAGAACAGGAGCTCTGTTCTGCAACAGAGGGACAAAATAAAAGTATTGGGTTCTTGATGACAAAATGATCCAATTCAAAGCTTCTGATAGCTTATTCTGTCACTAACACAAGCAGAGGATCTATACGACAAATTAGAAGCAAATTCCTAAGGTTAGGAAAATAAAACAGAATAGCAGTACAGTCAATAAATAATACAGAAAAGCCCAAATACATTTTCATGACTAAAATAGAAACAACTGGCCCCAGCATGGTGACTTAGTGGCTAAAGTCCTCACCTTGAACATGCCAGGATCCCATAAGGGTGTCAGTTCTAGTCCCGGCATACCCCACTTCCCATCCAGCTCCCTGCTTGTGGCCTGGGAAAGCAGTCCAGGACAGACTGAAGCCTTGGGACCCTGCACCCGTGTGGGAGACCCGGAAGAGCTCCTGGCTTTGCATCAGCACAGCTCCAGCCGTTGTGGTCACTTGGGGAGTGAATCATTGGGTGAAAGATCTTCCTTTCTGTCTCTCCTCCTCTCTCTATATATCTGACTTTGCAATAAAAATAAATAAATTTTTAAAAAATAAAACAAACAACTGCAATTTGTATTTTATCATTAAATACTTTCTACAACTTTTCATTCTGATATTATTTCAAACTTACAAGAAAGTTGCAGGAAAACTACAATGAATTTCCATGTGCTCGTTACCATGAGTCAACTGTTAACTAGACATTAAAAAAAAAATTTATTTATTAATATTTTTTTTCAGTTGGGAAGGCAGATTTACAGAGAGAAGGAGAGACAAAGATCTTCCATTTGCTGGCTCACTCCCCAAGTGGCTGTAATGGCCAAAGCTTAGCTGATCTAAAGCAAGGAGCCATGAACTTCTTCCAGGTTTCCCATGTGGGTGCAGGGTCCCAAGGCTTTGGGCTATCGCCTACTGCTTTCCCAGGCCACAGGCAAGGGGCTGGATGGGAAGAAGAGCAGCTGGGACATGAACTTGCATCCATATGGAATGTCAGTGTGTAAGATGAACAGATTCGGCCACTGAGCCATTGTGCCAGGCTCTTAATTGAACATTTTTGCCCCATTTCCTTTATCATTTGCTGTCATTCTTACTAGTTGAGTATAGAAACACACATTAGTGAACAATTCAATTTTTTCTGAATTATACCAAAGTTAAATTACCAACATAGTGCTTCTTTGCTCTCTAAAAACTTAAATGTATTTTGTAGGAAGACACTGTGACCCTAGAAGGTCAGGGAGCACAGGATTACAGTTGATTGAACAATATTTGTATGATAACCAAATGGATACCTTTTGTATAACTGATTGGATGTCATTTGTATGAAAACAGTTGAGTGGACAGCATGTGAATGAGAACACTTGGTAGAATACACAAAACAAAAGGAATTCCAAACAAAAGTATAGAAACAGCTGATGGGTTTTGTTGATAAGCTTGATACTTCCTCCCTTATCCCATATGACCTTCAGTGTATAAAGTCTGATGCCACTAACAAACTTAGGCTTTTGACCATCAGTCAGTTATTATCGGCTCCATGTATCAAGTCCATTGCTGTGGGACAGTGACAATATTTCCAGAGAATAAAGACTTTATCTCATGTAACCACAGAACATCAAAATTACATTTAATAGTGCTGAAATATTCTGAATCCACAATCCATATTAAAACTTTTTACTAATTGTCCCAATAATTTTCTTTAGTCATTCGTCTGCTCGGCCCAGCATTCAATCTGATACAACACCAAATTCAGTTGTCATGTCCCTTTTCTCTGTAATAATTCCTCAGTTTTTCTTTGTCTTCAATGAACTGGTAATTTCTGGAGAGTAGTTGAGCTGTTCTGTAGAATGCCCTTCAATTTACATTTGTGAGAAGTTTCTTGTTGACTGGATTCAGGTTACACATTTTTGAGGAAAACACACCACAGAGTGAAGATTACGACATTCTCAGTTACCGCATTACTTCATCCTAGCATCTAACAGCTGACTTTGCTACTAATCAGATTCAAATGTTTAACCTCACAGATCAGAACTGCAGACTGACCTCATGGAAGAAAGCAAGACCTCAGACATGAAAAGAATGTACTACCCTTTTCTCCCTTAAAAACTCTTCCTACTAACTTGAGAATCTGGAAGGTCACGGTAAAGGTCCACCTTCCCCTCAAGTTGCTAGTCTCCCGAATAAACCTGATGTCCTTGCTTCAGCTCTCAGCACTTTGGAGTGTTGCCTTTCAAGTAGGAAGTGCTCCAGAGCGATTTTCTCTTTTGTTTTGTCTCCATTGGTTAAGTTGACACAATTCTGATGGAAAAATTAAGAAAGGTACTCAAATTGTTGAATCCTGATAGGCCACAGTCAGAAGCAGAGCTTTCAGTGGAAATCAACAAGCAGGATCAAGATCATGAAGCATTTCTTGGAAGAACTGGAAGACAGCCATGTCCTTACCAGAATAACCTTAAGGCAAAGGGCAACCAAAGCAGTGGCTACTAAGAGGTAGCTGTGGTATGGCAACAGGTTTTGGGGTTCTAGGTACGACAACACGGGGGGAGGAAAGGAAGAAAGAAGGAAAACATTTTTGTGTGTTTATGAGAGGTTTTAAGAAAGTAAAAAATGTCAGGAAAGCTTCAGCGAATAGCTGTTCATCATAGAGATATTCTTACTTCTCATCAAATAAGGGCAGCTTTGCTAGAGAATGGGGAATCTCATCAAGCACCTATTTTACAGATCTGATATGGCTTCTTTGGACTTTTTTTTTCTTTCCATATCTTAACAAAATCTTTAAAGGAACCCCCCCCACCCCCGCTTATTTCCACTTTCCCATCAACTTTTTGAAGTAACTTTATATGTAAGAATTTTTACTTTTTATATATATCGTGAATATTTTTTCCAATTCGTGTTTGTCTTTCAACCTTGCAGTCATGCAATTTTTGTCTCATTAGATTTTAACATTTGAATTTGAGTTACAATTAAAAAGGATTTCCATCATTCTGATTATTAAGGAATTTATCCACATTTTTTTCTAGAACTTGTGTATTTTTTTAACAAGATTTATTCATTTTTACTGAGAGGCAAATTTTAACAGAATGAGGAGAGCCAGAGAGAAAAGTCTTATATCCATTGGTTCACTCCCCAGATGGCTAAAATGGCCAGAACTGAGCAGATCGGGAGCCAGAAGCTTCCTCAGGGTCTCCCATGTAGGTGCAGGGTCCCAAGAACCTGAACCATCCTCAGTCACTTTCCCAGGCTATAATCAGGAAACTGGATCAGAAGTGGAGCAGCTGGGACACGAACCAGCAGTACACAGTGCAGGATTAGGCTGGTGTAGCACCCTGCCAGCCCCACTTCGTAGCACACTTCTGGTCCACTTGAAGTTTATATCACGCACTATGTGACATACAAATCTAATTTTAAAATTTTCAAAAGGATTATGAGGGCAGTGCAACTATTTACCTGATACCGTAATGGTGGCTACATATTCTAAATGTTTCCAAACGCATACAGCCTACAACCAACAGCAAAAGCTAGCACCCATCATGAGCTCTGTGTGAAGATGATGTCAACGTAGGCTCTTGAGCTGTAACAAAAGCAGCACTCGGGTGGATGTCACTGACACAGAGCAGGCAAGGCAAGTGTGAGGCCAGGAAGTACAGGAGAGTGCTCTGTAGTTTTGACTTTAAAACTGCTCTCAAAGTAGTCTACTGAAAAGGTCAATTTTCAACCCAGTGATTTTTGCAAAGTCAAGTTCATTACATACTAAATTGTCACATGAAGGAAAATTTATTTCTGGATATGCACACATACACATCAATATGAGATATTTTTATAGATTTTAATCCCTCTGATCATCTAACACATATCTTTATCACACATGTTCTTAGAGCATCGTTAACAATCTGCTAGGATTATCTCCTTCACATTTTTTTTTAACGGCTCCAGGTAGAAGGCATTTTTAAACAATTCATTATGCTATTAATCCCTAATTTTATTGCACTATAATCAACGACATTAGTGATTTTCTACTCTAAGAAACTTGGGTTTGCTTTGTATGAGAAGATCAAATGTTAACAAAATACCTCTATTAAGCATTTGCATGTACAATATCCAGTTTTCCTAACACTGCCCAGTATTTTGTGACTCACGAATCCTGGAACAGGGGTTGAGGGATGGTAAGAAAAACCCAACTAGCCCTAGACGCCATAATCCTTGAAGAGCTGAGCTTTCTCCCTTAGATTACTAATTATTCAATGAAAGACACTGCATTCTTGATTTTCATAATACCCAGACCTGTTGTTTTACAATCACCCTCACACATGTAAACACCACGTAAGAAAACTGTTGTATTTTGCTCCACTATTAACAAACCTACTATAATCCTATGGATTTTTTTATCCTTTAAAACTTGCTGGGCTCCTTCATTCTGTTTCTCTGAGATCTGTTTTCATCCCTTGCAGAACGATGTAACCCGACTCGAATTACACACACTCAAGATTCCAAACGCACTGCACCAGGGGGCTCCGAACCCTGCATGAAGGAGGGTCCGGGAACCAGGCGGAAGACACAGACACCGAGCCAAAGAGGGTACACTGCACCGTTGCCACAGCAACGGCACCCAGCTGCCCAGCCCGCAACTCTCCAAGCCAGCCCTCGCGCAAACGACCTCTCGCACTCATCTCTGCACGGTCATCCTCGCCCTCCGCACACCCACCAGCCCTTTCTCTCCGGACCGGAGGGCCAACCATTCCTCTTCTGCCTCCCGTCGCTTCTTCCCCACACGATGGGTCTCAAGAAGCTCCCGGGAAGGAAGGAAAGCAGGAGGGAGGGGGTGTCTGTCCCTGAACCTCACGCGGCCCGACGATCCCGCACGAGGGCCTCACCTGTGGGTATAGGTCCTGCAAGAACTGCGCCTCGGAGACGCCCTGGAGCCGAGGGACCGGGATCCGCGCGCCAGCCATGGTCGCTCGCGTTTGCCTTCCACCAAAACACGCCGGGAAAGCTGGGCTGCAGAGCGCTACTCAACAGGCGACCCGCCTGGAAACACGACCCCGGGAGCAAAGGGCCGCGCACAGCACGGGCCGGGGAGGACTCGCCAGAGGTGGCAGCAACAGCCGCGCTCTGTGTCGCAGGCGCCCTCTCCCGCACCGCTCAGGTGGCTTCCAGCCGACCTTCTTTTCAGGCAGCACAGGCCGCAGGAGGGGGTGAAAGGTTGCCAAGATGGCGCTGGCCGCTCGCCTCTGTTCCCGCTGGTTGGTCCCTAGGTCGCTACCCGGGGCGGCCAGCGGAACCTGGACTCCCCATGCGGCCGAGGGGAGGCTGCCGTTGACCGGACTTTGCTGCTTCTGCTGCCGCCGCCTCGGCACGGGAGCGGCCCGGGCCTTGATGGCCTCAGCCTTGCCTGCACGAGGTGCCCGGGCCCTGCTCAGCTTCCCTGGACTCCGAGCTACCCTCGCCTGTTTCCCTGCGCGTGGGGGTCGAAGCTACAGCACCGAGCCGCCGCCGCGCCCGAAAACCAAGATGATCATTCTGGGTTTCTCCAACCCCATCAACTGGGTTCGGACACGAATTTATTCCTTCCTTATCTGGGCGTATTTCGACCAAGAGTTCAGCATCGCCGAGTTCTCGGAAGGGGCGAAGCAGGTTGGTGTTCCTTGGGATTGCATGCAGCCCCTGTGTGCACACGAGTTTAGCTCTGAGGCCTCTTTGTGAGGTCGCGAGTAACCAGACCCCGGCAGTGGCCGGGACCCCAGAGCCTGCCAGCCACGCCTTGTGTTCTTGACCGTCTGGGTGTCTTGCACCATCTTCGAGGAGGTGTGGTTCCTTTAAGGGACCCCAGTTCCCTGTCTCACGCTCCAATCAGAATTTTCAGAGAAATGGATTGTGAACCGCATCTGCCACTTCAAAACTGTTGGGCCTTTTCTGGACTTGGTTTTCCAAATCAGCTGAATGGGCAAGACACAGTTCTAGCCACGGCATGAACATTTGTTAAGTACATTAATGAGTCGCTAAGATAATTGTCAGAATAAGTAAGAAACATTTCCGGATTTTGACCATCTGGGGTAGGAAGGTGGAACTGCCCAGCAGCTGCTTGACAGAGCTCAGATGCCCACCTACCCACCCCCATCACTGCCTTTAAAGAACAGCCAGGAGATGAGTAGTTGACCCCCTGCATAGAACCTGCAGACCGCCTGGGGCTGGCGTATACCCAGCATGCTACACACCGAGAACCCTCAGCTTTGGTCATTCAGCACCCTGGCCTCGCTAGCCAATTCCCTCTTTCTGAATGGCTGAGTGCTTGACCCAGCTGGTACCAGATGATGGTCACTTTGGTCCTGGTAGTATTTGCAGTGTCCTTGTATTTGTGTGTACCTACCACCTCTCCCTTTCCTTTGTCATTCCCAACATTGCTGCATCATTGAGAACCAAGAGAAGGTGCTGTTCATTTTTCAGATCATACCTCCATGCCACCCTTGGAGACATTTTACCGTGCTGATTGGAAACTGGTATTGATATTTTCACCCTTAACTCACTCAGATTATTTCTATAAACACAGCCACTTGTTGATGAGACTGTTGGTTATAAATGAAATTGTATGAACTCTGTGTAATCAATACTGGCATTAACTCCTGCTTCCTTAAGTTGACTGTTGATTCTTGTATGAGTTTATAAAAACAAAGCAAAGGGTACACTTGATTACTATGTCAACCCAATGTCATAATAAAGGGGTGACCCTCCACGCATGGCAGTTCTTAAAATCTTGTTTCCATGCAGAGAGAAATTGGTGTTAATGACGTGTGCGCTGGTCCGCCCTCTGACATCATGTGGTGCAGCTCGTTTCTTGTCAGTGAGGAATGGAAGTCCCTCTCCACCGGAGCAGGAAGCGAACCTCAATCCTGATTTCCTCTGCACTGATGGAGGAGAGTGGAATGATTGGGAAGGTCTTGCTGAGCTGGTGGTCCTCCAACTAGTACCTATTTTAGACTCTTGGACCTAAGCAGCGTCCAGTCCATCTGCCCGTCTTTGTGCACTTTGGCTTGTCTAAGGCAGTGTTTGGGCAGTTCACTATTCTGACATCCAGAAGAATGCCTGAGGACAGCGATTCAAGGATTGAGCGAGTGATGACTTGAATGTGCCATTCCAATTGGACAAATCAGTTCTTAGATACCCATAACCTTGTTAAAGGACACCACCAAAAACCTGCCTTCCATGGTGCAAAAGTGCCTTCCCTCCAGTGGGGATAATCTGTTGTAAAAACATCAACTGGTTTATTCTCATTCAACTCCACTTCCCGTTAGGCTGCTCTTTGTCAATTTCTCATATTAAGATTTTTAATTTTAGTCATAGGACATGAAAACAGAAAAGATGCATATAGTTTAATCCTTGTTTACAAATGATTGTGTTTCAGAACAGTGAAGTGATCTGCTCCGTGGCTCCTACAAGCAGGCTTGGTCCTCCAGGGTCACAGGAGATTGAGACGGTTAACGGAGTCTGGGCAAATGGCTGTTTGTTATGTGAGAGGGGAACAGGTGGTATAAGGCTCTATTTAATGGCAACATAAAGTCATAAGTGCAAAAAAAAGGTAATAAGTGCAGATGACGTGTACTCCCTGTTAATGTGGTCAAAACATACTGTTTTCTTACATCTTCCTTGTGTATGTTAGGCTTTTCCATGGAAAAAACAAAACAAAAAACCAGGTTGTTTCTTTGGAAACAGTTTTTGGAAGTGGGACACCTTTAAGTCATTGTGACCTTCCCAGGACAGCCTTGTAATGACTCAATATTGTCATTTAGGCTTATTTGCTTAGCATTAATCTTTGTTGGCCCTGCAAAGATTCTAATGGCCTTTGTTTCTTTTGCCCAAACATTCATCTGTCTTCCAAATATGAAACCTTAACAACAAAATATAGTCTCTCTGAACCCCGAACGCACCTAAAGTATTTACAAAGAGTGCTTTTTGTATATATATAAGTTTTCTTATTCTTACTTGAAAGTCAGAGTTACAGAGAGAGAACAAAACTGAGAAATCTTTTATCACTGTTTCATGCCCCAAATGGTCTCAACAGCCAATGCTGAGCTGATCCAAAGCTGGGAGCCAGGAGCAGGGTCCAAGACTTTGACCCACATGAGTGCAGGATCCAAGACTTTGGACCATTCTCTGCTGCTTTCTCAGGTTGTAAGGAGGAAGTTGTGTTGAAAGTAGAACAGTTAGGAATAGAACCAGCACCCACATGGAATGCCAATGCCATGGGTGAAGGATTAGTGTGCTAGGCCATCATACCAGCTCCTTGCAAAGAGTTCTTAAATCCCTTTAGATCTGTGCATTTTCTTAAAACTCAATTCTACTACTTAGTATTAGTCAGGACTGCCATAACAAAGTACCACAGGCTGGCTTAACCATCAGAAACTTCAGTGCCAAGATGTCAAGAGGCCTGATTTTTCCTGCAGCCTCTTTGTGTGTCTTGCCAATGCCATTTGCCATGTCCCTACATAGTCTTGCATGGTTCTACCTTACTGTGGCCAAACTTCTTCCTCTTATAAAGGCATCAGTTGCATTGGATTAGGGCCCAGCTTTTTGGCCTCGTTTTAATTGAAGCATCTCTTTAAAAGCTTTATTTTCAAATACAGTCATAGTTTTAGATACTGCCTGGGGATTAGGACATCAACATGTGCATGGGAGAGTATAATTCATCCCAGACAGTTAGCCATATGCCCTGACTGCTGTGCCTCTTTTATCTTGCCAGTTCTTCCTTTAGGAAGCCCTGTGAGGTCCTTCAGATTAAGAGAAGTGGCTTTTGTATGTGCTCTCAAATCATGTCTATCCTAGTTCTTAAACTTCCACTTACCTCTTAATTGACATTTTCATTTCACATTGGCAGGAATGTGAAGAATTGTAGTTAAGTCATCTTCCTAGTTTGCAATTCAAAGTTGGAATCCACAGTTGAGACTGACATTATTTCTCTTCCTTCCCACTTTTCCACAACTAACTACGCTGTCAGTGAGTCTCAGATTGCAACCCACATCTCCGGATTTCCAGCAAAGTCTAGACTGCCCTGCTTTTCAGCTGCTATCTATGCATGGACTACATTAATAGTCAACTCGTTATATTTACTTCTGAAGAAATCTATAGGAGGGTTTTCAGTGAGGCAGCTATGTGTGTACTACACACTGCTGCTTCCCAGGTTTTCTTTTTTTAAAAGATGTATTTGTTTTCAGGCCTGGTGCGTTAGCCTAGCAGCAGAAGTTCTTCCTTTGCATGCACTGGGATCCCATATGGGAACTGGTTCTAATCCCAGCGGCCCTGCTTCCCATCCAGCTTCCTGCTTGTGGCCTGGGAAAGCAGTTGAGGACAACCCAAAGTCTTGGGACCCTGCACCCACATAGGAAACCCGGAAGAGGCTCCAGACTTCTGACTTCGGATTGGTGCAGCTCCAGCCGTTGCGGTCGCTTGGAGAGTAAATCACTGGACAAAAGACCTTAAAAAAAGAGATTAATTTGTTTTCTATTGGAAAGACAATTTGATGGAGAGGAGAGACAGAAAGAGAAAGATCCATGCCCAGCTTGGTGGCCCAGTGGCTAAAGTTCTCACTTCGAATGCACCAGGAACCCATATGGGTGCCAGTTCTAATCCTGGCAGCCCCACTTACTGTCCATTTCCCTGCTTGTGGCCTGGGAAAGCAGTTGAGGATGACCCAAGGCCTTGCGACCCTACACCCACATGGGAGACCCAGAAGGGCTCCTGGCTCCTGGCTTCGGATTGGCACAGCTCTGGCCATTACAGTCACTTGGAGTGTGAATCATCAGATGGAAGATCTTTCTCTCTGTCTCTCCTCTATATATATACCTGACTTTGCAATAAAAATAAATAAATATTAAAAAAAAGAAAGATCCTGTATCCACTGGTTCACTCCTCAAATGGCCATGATAGCCAGAGCTGAGCCAATCTGAAACCAAGAGCCAGGAACCTCTTTCATGTCACAAACATGGGTGCAGGGCCCCAGGCCATAAGCAGAGAGCTGGATTGGGAGCTGGAGCAACTGAGACACAAACCATTACCCAGATACGATGCCAGTGCTTGCAGGTAGAGGATTAGCCTGTCAAGCCGCCATGCTGACCCTTTCTTGGATTCTAAGTGTAGATAAATAATTAGCAATCATCTCAGTTACTGCTAAGTGAAAACACTATGTGAGAAAAGGTAAGTCATTTGGAAGGACTAATGGCTAACATTGAAATACTAATATTTCATGTTCATCACCTTTACTACAAAACAGTCTTTGAGACACTTAACCATATAAGAATCCATATCCCATGGAATTTTAAAATTTTAATTGCTACCATCCTGCCACTATTTTTTTTTCAAGGCTTTTGCTCATGTATCCAAGTTGCTGTCGCAATGTAAATTTGACCTACTGGAAGAACTTGTGGCCAAAGAGGTAAAGTATTCTTTTAATTTTCTAATAATTTTAATTAATTTTAATTTTTAAAAGTGTTACTCTTGGAATAGAGTGACACACGTTTTGCTTATTTGTGTCAGCAGCCAAAGTGACTGTGTATCTGTCCTGTGGATAATTTGATTTGTACAATAGCTCAAATGACTCCTATTACTTAACTGCTTAACACCAAATGGGGTGTCTGTCAGTTCTGTCGTAGAATGTTCTGTTAAGGAATTACCTGGTTGAACAACTGGATGCCTGTCAGCCTTGCTTCTCATGATGAATAAATATGTCAGTATAGTTTAAAGTACTTAAAAAGGTTCATTCCATGTTAAGAATCACTTATTAAAAAGGTTTCAGGAATTGAGCTGGGTTGCTTTTTCCAAACATAGGTGCTGCATGTGTTGAAAGAAAAAGTATCTTCCCTACCTGATAATCATAAAAGTGCCCTTGCTGCTGACATAGATGAAATCGTATATACATCAACAGGAGACATCTCTATTTACTATGATGAGAAAGGTAATGCCAGAACATACTTTAAATTATCCATAGTTATCTAGTGCCTAGTGGCTTCTATACCTATGTATTTCTAAGTAAGCTGACACTTAGAGAACTTTGAAGAAAATTATATACTCATCCTTTGAATGCCTAACCTCAAAAGAGTAAGATATATTAATAGTTGATTGTGTCTTCCTGTGTGTGTGTGTGTGTGTGTGTGTGTGTGTGTGTGTGTGTGTGTGTGTTTAATGAATTAATTATTTGAACGGCAGTGAGAGAGAATGTTCCCATCCACTGGATTACTCTCCATATTCCTACAACAGCTGGGATTGGGCCAGGCCACAGCCAGGAGTCCAGAACTAGTTAGGAGACCCAACTACTTGAACACCACCCACTGCCTCCCAGGGTACAGACTGACAGAAACTGGAATTAGAAGCCAAGTTGGGATTCAAACCCACGAACTCCAATAAAGGATGTAGTAACCACTGTGCCAAACACCAGCCCCTCTTACATCTTGATGTCGAATTTTTCCCTGCTACTTTGTAATCCACGGGAGAGAATGTCATCACTTAAAGGTGATTGTAAAGTAACCTGTGTAGGACTAATTGTTCTCTTGTCCTAAACTGAAAATTAATGTTTCATATTCCCAACTTGAAAGAAATAGTTGAACAGTTTAAATTTCCTGCTGTATGTTGGATGGAAAGAGTAAGAGGCAAAAGAAGCTACTAAGATGGTATCAGCTAGAGATTAGTATGAAAATTAGATTAATTGGAAAATCCACAAAGAGAATTTATTTGGAAATAATGAAAAAAGCTGGAAAAACTGGTTCTGTTGTCTGGTGCATACGTTTCTCTATAGCATTCCTAAAAATTCCTTGATTTGTTCCTTGTATATATATTTACCTGTGTATCCTGAGCCAGATACAGAAGAAATCAAACTCCCATTTTAAAAATCTCTTGAAGTAGTCCTAATAGAGAGCTCTTTATGGCAGAACATGAAAAATACATGTTAGTTTGAAACATCTGTAGAAATGTTTTAACGATAAAAATTTTCTTCGAATCTTTTAGTTAGTTATTTTTACTTGAGAGAGACATAGGGTAAGACAGAGAGCCTCCATAGGTGCATTCGGAGATGCCCGTGACAGCTGGGACAGGTCAGGCTGAAGCTGGGCCCCCCGGGTAGATACCAGGAACCCCACTACTTCAGCGTTCAGCAGAGTCTGAGTTAACAGTAAACAGAACCTCAGCCAGAGACTCACAACATGGGACGTAAATATCCTAACCCGCGTTTTGCCCTCTAGGCCAAGCTCCTGCCCCCTCCTCTTCTTTATTCGCAGCTCCACAGCGTGGGCACAGACTGATTTGTACACTGGCTGGGGTCAGAATCAGCAAGCATAGTAAAAGAGTTAGGGTACAATGGAGTCTTTTTTCCTTCTGGCACTTGGGGTTAAGTTAATTACCTAACAGTGGGAGAAAAAAATACATTCTTTCCCTTCATGTTTGGCTTGACAACAATCAGCGATTATATTCTTATAATTGAAGAAAATGGCACAAATGAAAAGTAATCCACTAAAATCTGTGCCTAGTCAATAGTAACTTTATTACTGAGATCCGAGACTAGGGAAAAGATGTAAAACCCAAGAGAATGTTTCTAAAAGTAAAGAACTCCAATGTAGACATCTTAAGTCACACTAGATCACCTACATGGTATGTAACAACTGTAAAGCTACTGCCAATTTCTGATTTTGTTTTGGATACATGAATGATAGATTTTTGTGATTTGTCTTTGTACATTTTTTTTTCTCTCTAAGGAAGGAAGTTTGTTAACATCCTGATGTGCTTTTGGTATCTAACCAGTGCCAATATCCCCAACGAAACTATAAGAGGAGCCAGTGTGTTCCAGGTTAAGTTGGGGGATCAGAATGTGGAGACTAAACAGCTTCTTAGTGCAAGCTACGAGTAAGTGTAATCATACTTCATTGTTTCTTCTCTCCAGAAAATGGAAAGGTAATAGAAAGGGTTTGTTACATAAGGGAGCTTTAGGAAAACAAGAATTGGAAGTTCACATGTTATTTGTGAAGAGAAAAGTCGTAGGCGCACTGGATATGAAGCAGAAGTGCTGAGGAGTTAGAAAGAGGGAATACTGATGAATTTAAATACTCTGTGAGCCATCTGTCATGGTTGAAGCCACCCCATACTGTCAGGCTTCAAATAGCCTAATTTAGAGTGCCTGCTGGAATTTTGGGAACGCTCAGCTCTGAGGTTTGCTTTGTCTCCCCAGTATCAACTGAGGTGCCTGGGGCTGGACCTTCCTTCTCCAGGGTGGCTGGCTGTCTGTGGGTTGGGCACCTGGTGTTTTCAGACTCATCCCATCTTTGACATGCTGTTTGGACTCCAACTGGCAAAAAATAGACGTTCCTACACCAGTAAAGGATTTTGCACAGAATTAGAAGAATATGTTTTTTAGCCTGTTGCTTTGGCCCAAGTAATCCCAGGACCTGCATAGTTTAAAGTCTGTAGAGAGTCTACCGTCTTATGGTCCAGCAGACAGCAAGGCCAACTTATAGAAGGACCGGACATGGGGTTGTGGCCTCCTGAAAAGGAAAATCTGCTGTGATCACCATGCAGATCATTCATTAGACATGTGTTGGCCTTTCCGCCAGTGCAGGCTCGGGTTCAAAACTGAAGGGATATTGCCTTTGAGGAGACTCTGTCCAGTAAGAAGTTACCAAACTATTTTAAAAATGCATTTTATGTATTTTTATGTTATTAAAATTTGAAACGGGGAATGATGAACAAGTCAGTGGAGACATAATTTAATACTTACTTAAAAGAATATTATGTTGTAAGCTTATATACATTTTCTATAATAAATCCCATTTTTTTCTTAGTGTATAAGGAAAAAATACCTTATATCCTAAGAAAGAAAATATGTTCTCTTTCATTAAAGTAAGAGAGAATTATATATTCATTTTTTCACTTTTCCTGAAACAACTACTTGTGTGTTTAATTTTTTTCCTCACTTATAATTACTCAAAATATTTTATATATTTAGATGCCTATCCAAGTTACTGAATTCTCATGTTTTACTACTTTGTTTATAATCATGATTACTATTGTCAGTGCTAAACTTGATATCTTCTGATCTTCCAGTAAGACGACAAGCAGCTACTAAATACTTTTCTTCTACTTGGATATTATGTAAAGAAATGAAATTCCACTATTTAGTCCTAAATCTGTGTTGGGAAACCAGATTTTCTGTGAATTGTGTATCTGAAATTCTGTTTGCTTCCAACCTCATATGTAGCATGTGTTACAGACAGTGCTTAATAACAAATAATGTCCCAAGTTTCTGCCAGAAGTTTGAAGATATCGATTAGTCTATTAAAAAATACTTTAGTTAGAAATGTATTTGTTTTGTGGATTTTTTTGTGATTGAATTGGTTGGTTAAATTTTATTTTATTTTGATTTTAATTTGCCATTATCCACTTGTATATTGTTAAAAACTGCCTTAACCTTGCAAATTATATAGTTGTCAAGAAAGAATCTGGGCTGTTAAAAGTTTCTCATTATTTACAATATTTTTCCTAGATTTCAGAGGGAATTTACACAAGGAGTAACGCCCAACTGGACTATTGCACGGATTGAACACTCAAAATTATTAGAATAATCTTTCTTGGAAAAAAAATCAGCTAATGGACTTTTTAGCAATTGCTGTGAAAAACTGAGGAAGAAAAGTATTTGGATCATTTGATCTTCACTTAATCAAGTCTGTGGATTACTTTTATATTACTTTTGAAATACCTACAGCATATTGACGTGATACAAAGAAGCATTTTTGATGTACTGTTACTACTTTGTTTAAAAGAGATCAAAGTAAAAGAAACAATAGCTACACATTATGGGTATCATATTTGGTATCATGTATCTAGTATTACATACATATACAAAATCCATAATTTTATAGTCATAATAAAGATGATATTTTAAAAGCCACTTATACATTTCTTTAAAAAATATTATTTGTTTGTTTATTTATTTATTTGAAAGAATTACACAGAAAGAGGGAGAAATAGTCAGGGATAGTTCATCCACTGGTTCACTTCCCAGATGCCCACAACAGCCATGGTTGGGCCAGACTGAAGCCAGGAGTCTTATCTGGTCTAGCACATAGATGGCAGGGGCCCAAGAACTTGGGCCATCTTCAGCTGCTTTTCTAGGCTCATTAGCAGGGAGCTGGATTGGAAATGGAGCAGCTGGGACAAACTGGTGCCCATTTAGATTATTAACATCAAAGGTGGTAGCCACAAAACCACAATGCCAGCCCCACGTGTTTCTGAGTTAGCAGGCTTTAAATATTTTCTTTGTACTCTATGCATCTTACATATGTACCATTAATGGAACATATATAAGATTTGCTTCACTACAAGTATTTCGACCTCTTTGGCTTCTATCTAGGTGGGAAAAAATGGACAGATAGATTGGTCTCTGCAGAACTAAAGATAAAAGAGCAAACCTAAGTACAGAAGAAATAACAGCACAATGCCTCAGACACTGAAGGCCGACACCTGTTCTAAGCTGCTCGTGTTTGGAGTCCTGAAAATTGGGGTAGAGATGTAGACAATATTTTCAGGAATTATCACTGAATTTTATTTCCTAAGTGATTAGACTATATCTGCAGATGGAAGGAATTCAACAAACTAGGTGATAAATTTGAAAAAAACATTCCTCAATTGAAATACATAATAGAATTTTTGGAAACTGTTGCAAGTTATAAAAGCAACTAGAGAAAATCAGACATTCAATATAGGGCAACCAAAGTGTCAATAACTTTTTCTTTTTTTTTAAACTATAAAGTTGGAGATCTTAGAATGGCATTCTTAGAGTGCTGAAAAAAAAAATAATAATAACCTGTGAACCTAGACTTCTTACTCAATATAAAAAGGAAAAACCTTCAGATACACAGATGGAAAAGGCTTTTTCAAACAGAAGATGGGAGGATTTGTTAGCAGCAGCCACACTAAAAAATGTTAAGCCTAACGAACAGAATAGAATTCAGAAATGGATCTCTGTGTTCATGGACAAGTGTGGTTTTTGGTTAGTGGTAATTTGCTTTGTTTTGTTTTTAACAGAGGTCCTGAAATAATACAATGAATAAAAAAGTCTTTTCAACCTATGGAATAACTTCGTTTATCTGGAAAAAGAGCTTTACATCACGCACAATTTGAGTATAAAATTTAGATTGTGAATTCGGACGTACACTGAACCAGAAGTAAAACCTAAAAATTCTTGAAAGAGAAAGTCTTTGCTGCCTTAGGGTAGGCCAAGATTTCTGCGGACACAGCGTCAACTATACAGGAAACAAATTGAAAATTGAAATTTATTAAAACTGCCATTTCATAGGAACCAATATGAGAATTGAAAGTTTATAGATTGGGAGAAAATAATGGCAATTCATATATCTGACAAAGATATGTGAAAGTATCTAGAAAAAAATCAAGTTATGTGAAATTATCTAGGAAATATAAGTATTGCTTATAGCTCAATAATGAAAAGTCAAACAGCCCAACCAGAAAGAAGATTTGAAGGGACTCTTTATTTAGTATTTAGATTGCCAAGGACAATCAATTCCATTAACCATTAGGGAAGCAAAACCACAAGATAGAAGACCACTAAATGGTTTAAATAACAGTAATAAGCACCAACAGTCAGTGTTGATGAAAGTGTGAACCCAGAAGAATTCATGCATTGCTGAGCAGAATACAAAATGCTACAGCCACTTTGAAAGATATTTGTGCAGGTTTTTATATAATGACTCCTGGCTGGAAAGACCCAAATGTTCAGTAAATGGGTGGATATACAAATGACTGAAGGAAGCCAAAAGTAAGAGTATTTCTTTTTCTTGTTCCATAATTCCATTTCTGTGAAATTTTAGAAAAAGTACAATTGTTGGATAATACTGAGGAAGCAAAGTGGGCCTGTGGGTTATGCAGGCCATGTAGGGGACAGGCATGTGGGGGGACACCGACTACAGGCTGTGAGAAGGAGCTTTGCGGAGGTCACAAAACCCGTGTGCATTTTGATGGCAGTAATGGTAGCCTGGATTTAGGCAATTGTGACTCACCAAACAGTTTGAAGTGGGAACATTTTATATGTATCTTAGCAAATTATACTTAAATAAAAGTCTAGTAACTTGAAGAAATACAAGCTGAAATGATTATACTTTTATTAAGAATAAAGAAACTAGCCTGTATCTCATATCTTTATATACTTTCATCTTAGAGGAAGTTGATCATAGAAGATACACACACACACACACACACACACACACACATATAAATGTGAAACTGTTAAGCAGTCATTTGCCATCATTTTTCACATGTCATCAGATTTTTAAATGGACAATGAGTATGATTTAGAATCTGGATTTTTGTCACAAACTTTTGGCCCTCAATTCCTCATTTACAGATCCAACCCACTGTACATTGAAAGTACTTGCAGCAAGCTATACCCATTCTGCACATATAGAGACATCATATTCTGTACATATACAGACGATGCAGAGTTACAAATATTGGGCATGGCATTCACATTATATAAGGGTTCTTCAAAAGTTAAAGAAAAATGTACTGTGACAGAATTGCATGGATTTCAAAATAAACTTATCTTTCAATTCCATTTTCCCAAAGCTTTCTAAGGACCCTTGTAGTAAGGACAAATAATGAAGAGATCATTTGAAGAATACTGAAGTGTGTGCGGGGGTTATATTTGCGTATTCTATGCCATGTTAGGGAATTAAGCATCTGTGGAGTCTGATATTCTCAGAAAATCCTGAAGTAATCCCCCAGGGAAAACTGTACCTGAGTATAGCTGGAGGTGGGGCAGGGGAAAGTATCTGATGTTCAAATTATGATCTTTGGGTGCCAGAGTTGTGGCACAGTGGGTTAAGTCACCACTGTGATCCCAGCCTCCTTTATGAGCATCAGCTCATGTCCAGCTCCCTGCTAATATGCCTTCGAAAGTAGCAGAGCATGGCTTGAGTGCCTCTGGCCCTGCATGCATTGGGAGACCCAGATGGAGTAAAAGGCTCCTGGCTTCAACCTGGTCCAGCCCCATCTTTTGTGTTCATTTGAGAGGTAAACCAGAAGATAGATCTGACTCTACCTCTCTGTTACTCTGCCTTTCAAATAAACAGATCTATAAGGAACACATAAATAATAGTGATCTTGGTGTTTATTTCTGAATAGAAAGTAGGCAAGATGGACCAATGTGAATATTGAAAAGAGTACTAACTGCACACACGCGCGTGCACACACACACACACACACACACACACACCTTTTTGAACCATTAGTTGCAAGCCTGGCACTGAGGTGTGGCATATTAAGCTTCTGCCTGCCATGCCAGCATCCCATGTGGATGCAGGTTTGAGTTCTGGCTGTTCCACTTCAAATCCAGCTTGCTGCTAATGGCCTGGGAATGCAGCAGAGGATGGCCCAAGTGTTTGGACCCTGCAACCCTGTGGGAGCCTAGGGGAAGAAGCTCCTGGCTCCTGGCTTCGGACTGGACCAGTTCTGGCCATTATGACCATTTGTGTGGGGAACCAGTGGATAGAAGATTCCCTCTATCCTTGTCTCTGTAAATTTCAAATAAGAATAAAAGAGAAAACCATTATTTTCTAGTGAAACTCCACATAGAGATTGAGATTGAGAGTCTTCCATATGCTGTTCACTGCCCAGATGGCCAGGCATGGCGAAGGTGAAACCAGGAGTCAGGAACTCCCTCTGGGCTTCCCACCTGGGTAGCAGAAGTTTAAGTACTTGGTCTATCCTTTGCTGCTTCCAAGGTGCATTAGTAGGGAGCTGAACTAGAGGCAGAGTAGCCAGGACTTAAACTGGCACTTTGATATGAAACGCATGAGACTCAGGGTGGCTTGGCCCTTTGTGCCACAAAGCACAGAGAGAAGCAGTGGGGTATCCATATGGGCATATGAAAGGGGATTTGTTAGGGGAAGTACTCGTGTGATGATGGCAATTGAAACTCATCTACAGGCTAGAGGCTTTGGGAAGCTGCTAGCATGTGTGCCTCTAAGGCCTGAGGCCTCAGAACCCAGGAGCAGACTTCTAAGTCTCAGGCTGAGAGCATGAGTATCAGTGAGGGTGCCATTGGTATGTGGAGCTCAAACATCCACACATCTCAAGTTCTGATTTCTAAATGGGAACCACTTCTCATAACTGGAGGTCAATTCACCTGTTTTTTTTTTTTTTTTTTAAGATTTATTTATTTGACTTCAAAGAATTGTTGAGAGAGAGAGAGAGAGAGAGAGAGAGATCTTCCACTCGCTGGCTCACTCCCCAAATGGTCACAATGGCCAGAACTGGACCTGGCTTTGCCAGGAGCCAAGAGCTTTTTCCAGGTCTCCCATATGAGTGCAGAATCCCAAAGACATGGACCATCCTCTGCTGCTTTGCCAGTCCACTAGCAGGGAGCTGGATTGGAAGTGGAGCAGCTGAGACATGAAGTGGCACCCATGTGGGATGCTGGCACTACAGACAGAGATTAACATGGGATGCTACATGCCAACCCTCACCTGCCAATTGATGGCACCTTAGCACCTGAGGGCAAGACTTCTATGCCTAGTCCGCTCAGGCTCGCATTCTGATCACTGTGGGAGAGACTTTCACAGATGCACCCCTCAGGATGCTTTTCTGCCTTCTAGGTAGTCCATAATCCAATTATGTTTACATCTAAGATGAACCAATACAACTTATATGATCAATCCGTGTCTGGTCTAGTACTTCTAAGGAGGTAACTGTACAATGGTTTTGCTGGGAGAAAC